GGAGGACCCGGAGAAAACCCACGAGGTTGGACAGGCGACCCTACTCCTTGTCACGTACAACTGGGGATTCGAAACCACGCCAGTTGACTCAATGACAGACTTAATGATACAGCGCGCACGTGCTAACCACTAACCCATCCACCCCAACCCCCATGATTAAAGTACAGATCTATATTTCGTTTCGTTTTTTATACTTTCGATGGCCCCCGTGGAAAGAGAAGTAAAACAAAATTTTGAACTATAAAAGACGAAACGAAATAGGGTTTGTGTTTTAATCAGATTGGGGGGGGGGGGTTTGGGGGGGGGGGGAGTTGTCGAACGTTTTAGGACATTTACTGCTCAAATCCTTAAACCTAGTCTCATTATCCCTTTAAGAATACAATATTTGGACATTTTAATATATATATAACTAGATTTACTGCTCAAATCTTTAAACCCACCCTCATTATCCCTTTAAGAATACAATATTTGGACATTTTAATATATATAACTAGATTTACTGCCCAAATCTTTAAACCGATCCTCATTATCCCCTGAAGAGTACAAAGTTTGGACTTGATAATATAACTAGTTTTACTAACTCTTACACTGTGTCAATTATCGAACGAACAAAACCGGAAATAATCATCTATGTTGTTTACTTCCGAACAAATTGTGTTTTTATTTTGCAGCGTATTTTGTTGACCTCGGTCCGTTTGTTCACTTTTATTAAACATCACAGATCAACACGATTTTCCAATTACATAAATATAATTTATATTAATTAATCAATGGAAATCGAGTTCTGTTTGACAATACGCAGACGACAAGCCTTCAATAGGCATTTGTTCGTGTCAGTAGGTAATGTTCCATCCTACATTCGATTTCCAAGATCAAAAAAATAAAAACATGCTTCAATAAATTTTAAAGCGTCTCGCTCAGATTGGCCTTAAAATTTTAATTGTCTCAGATATCACGGTTTGAATCTAAATAAAAGCGATTTCTTCTTAGTTTATAGTACAATGAATCAGTAGCCTATTCTGTTTAAAATCGGAGTGGTGGGGGTGACTGATCGGTCTGAGGCGTATGCTTTAGATCAAAAGGTCTGTCATTGGGTCAAGTGGTGTGGTTTCGATTCCCAAGTCGAATCGTGGCCCGGGTTTTCCCCCTGGTCCCGCCGATGTTTTTGTCGAGTGAACGTTAATATCTCTCTCTCTCCCTCTCTCTCTCTCTCTCTCCCTCTCTCTCTCTCTGCTTCAATAAATTTTAAAGGGCCTCGCCCAGATAGACCTTAAAATTCTTATCGTTTGAGATGTCGCTGGATCTAAATAAAGCGACTCGTTCTTACTTCACAGTAAAATGATTCAGTATTCAGTTTAAAATCGCGGGTGGGGGTATGGATGGCCGAATGTTCTGAGGCGTCTCACAAAATACACGCCTTGACAGCAATTCCATACTTTCTGTTATTAGTCATTAATTATAAGTTAAAAGCAGCACAAGAATTCTGCCTTTTCATCCCGTGGTCTTTTATGTATTGTTTGTAATGCATTTTTATAGCCTTTGATGGTATAAAGGCCATTTCTAGTTAGATGTCACCAAGTTCTGAATTTTAATAATAGTCGTTTAGACCAGAAATATCGCCACAAAATGGACTTCTTTTTATATTAACATGTTCTATCGAAATGTCGAGGGCAAAGATATATTAAAAAGGGGCAAACATTGATCAAAAGTACTTGGTCGATGGTAATGTTTACTAATGAAACCCCCCAAGGACGTCGATACGTACATGTTTAGGTATATACTGAAGTAAAGAATTTTTAAACAAAACACATAAGTAAAAAAAACCCACATCAAATAAAAGAGATTAAAGAAGATAAAGTGTTAGTAGGTATTCAGTCAGAATGTTTTGTAATTGTCTACTATACTAAATAAACACAGAGGTTTAAAGGCGACTTGTTAACCTTTTTTTAAAATACAATCTGTATGGATACCGCCATCTGGCTTACGGTCGTAGTTGGACATGTGGGCGCCTTCACAACCTCGTGGGTTAACTCCTGGTACTCCGGTGTCCTCGCACAGGAAAGGTCCCAGCTTAGCATAATAAAATAGCCCTAAGTATAATAAAAAAAAAGACAAACCTGCCCGCGATATCACCATCGGTGGAAGCGGACGTTGAACACAAATAGAAGAAGAAGAAGCTAGCCCTACTTCAGGTCACATCTGAATCAGGTGGAGGCATGGTGGCTCGATCCACAGGAGGTCCCGGGTTCGACCCCAGTGTTGCTCGAAAAAGGTCCTGGGAATTTTCAACGTGGTTTTCTTTTTTTACTGGTGCGAGAAGGAGGACCTGGCAAGGAACAGCTTTACTCGTTTGGATGGTGTGAAAACCGATGTCTTGTGTACATGTTGGCGTGCACGTAAAAGACCCCTTGACAGTTGGCTATTCGATGAAGAGTGTGTGGAAATGCCGCTGTCTTGACAAAATTTCTCTCATAGCACGTTTCATGACGTATAGGAGAATTCGGGCTATTCAGCGACGATTTAATTAAGTGTGATTTCTATTGCGATATGGGAACACTTTTACGTCTGTATACTTATCCAAATTTAAGATTATATTCGACAATTGTTAAGTAGTCGACAGGCTTTTGTATCAAGAGGGAGCCGCTGTGGCTCAGTGAGTAAGACGCTGGTTCGCCAATCAGTTGTGCAGGCAAGGAACGTGACTATTCGTTCGGATAGGACATTGGCGTGCACGTGAAAGAACCATTGACAGTTGTAATTTGAAAATCTGGACAATTTCCCTCATAGCACACTGTATGCCCGCCTTCGCGAGTCCGATTAGTGCAGAAAAGTAGGACATTAAACCCCATTTCAGTTTAATTCAGTTTTTCAAGACCGAGACAAATAGTACAGACTAAATTCCGCTGAGACATTACACGAGCCCTGTTTTGACATAAGCCATTTGAAAAAAGAGACTAGCTGTAAAACTATTTACTGCGGAAACTGTTCTAGTTAATTCGTTTGGGTATGTACGTGAACTCCGATAATTTGCTCTAATGATATTGTTTGTATCACTTCTCAACCTGATTAAAATACAGATCTATATTTCGTTACGTTTTTTTATACTTTCGATGGCCTACACTACATGAAGATCTGGCCGGTTGTAGCGACAGGTCGCGTCAGAGGTCATACGGGCGGTTTTTGACCCTATGACGTCAGACATTTGATTAACCAATCAGCATTGATGTTACTAGTGGATTACCCACAGTTAAATCGCTGCATATTACAATGAGTGAATCTGGTCACCCATACACGACATATTTAAAACAAAACCCCAAAACCCCACTCGTTCAGAAAGGAATTGAAAAGTGGTTTAACGATCGACTTTTCTGCACCGACTGGATTAATGAGGACGAGCATATAAGTCATGTAGTGTGCTTTTTGGGATATTTTGGCTAAGCAATGACACTACGGCCTCCTCTTACTTCGTAGTCCAACTGTCAAAGGGTTCTTTTGCGCGCACACCACGTTGCGTCCCATCCGAAGGACTAAAAACTGTTTATTGTCAGGCACTTGTCAGGGTTTCGATTCCCCAGTTGTACGTGACAAGGAGTAGGGTCGCCTGTTCAATCCCGTGTGTTTTCTCCGGGTCCTCTGGTTTCCTCCCACTGCTAAAGACCCCTACGCGCAAGCGAATTATTGAAATAAAATTGAACCATGCGTTAGTCCCGAAATGACCTAGTTTGTGTCGAGTGGACGTTAAACCCCATTTCTCTCTCTCTCTCTCTCTCTCTTTCTCGACCGTGTCTCTTTAAAGCAATGAGAGTCAGTCGAATTAATTGTGTAGTTTTGGGAGGTGAATTAAAAAGACTAATCACGTAGTGTTAAACCAACAATCACACATGTAGGTCGCGAGCTGTTTTACTTTATTTACATGTACGACAGTAATTTGAATCTTTTAAATTGTTTGTAGCTATACATGTATATTTAACAGTAATCTGGCCTCTTTATTCTCGCCACTAAACAAATCCATTCTCGTCATTACCATAAGATAGAAATTTTAACTATTTGGGTAACAAATAAAAAAGTAATCTTTTGATGTTTTGTAAATATATTTTACTATCTGATTGATATTCAAAACACAAGAATCAAGAAATTTTGAACATATAAATTTGTTTTGCCAGATTGTCTGTCTGACAATGGCTAGCTCAAGCCGACACTGAATTTCCTTAAATGTTTACACTGCCGTTGTGCCACAGTGTCCCAGTGACCATGGCACTGGCTCAATATAACGGGAGGTCACGGGTTTAATCCTACCGATGAGAGAGAGAGAGAGAGAGAGAGAGAGAGAGAGAGGGGGTGGTAACGTCCACTCGACACAAACTAGGTCATTTCGGGACTAACACATGGTTCATTTTTATTTCAATAATTCGCTTGCGCGTAAGAATCTTTAGCAGTGGGAGGAAATCGGAGGACTCGGAGAAAACCCACGAGGTTGAACAGGCGACCCCACTTATTTTCACTTACAACCGGTGAATCGAAACCAGGCCAGTTGACTCAATGACAGAAATGAAATGAAGACGGGCATACGCCATACAGTGTGCTGTGAGGGAAATTTTGCCCGGGCAGCGCCACTATCGCCTACTCTTATATCGAATTCCAACTGCCAAGGGATCTTTTACGTGCATTCCAATGTATACACGGGACCTCGGTTTTTCGTCTCATCCGAAGGACTAGACAGCTGTCCTTGTCAGGCCCTCCGTTCTGCACTCAATGACAGACCTTATGATTCAACCTTATGACAAATGCCTTAAAATTATGTAGATGTATGATTTATTATAACTAAAGTATAAACGTGACCAAAACCTAATACTGCCTCCAGTATTAAGGAAATCCTATGTTTATTATATGCTTTTCTGTGTTTATTTTCAGTATTTAGAACTAAGATTTTCGGTGTTTTATATTTTCAGTATTTAGACCTAAGATTTGTAATAAGACTTTTGTGTGTTTTATATTTTCAGTATTTAGAACTAAGATTTAATAGAGTTATACGACTTTTGGGTTGTTTTGTCTTCACCATTCAGATGGTAAGTAGATAAATTATTTAGAAAAACAATTAAAATTATTTATTATATTTTTTTGACACTTTTATTATTTGCTATGTTAAAACTGGTTTAATTGTGATGTTTTGTTTTTTTTTAATTTTTAAGTTTTTCTACAATTTTAATATTTTCTACGTTAAAGCTGAGTTAATTGTGATGGGTTTTTTTGGGGTTTTTTTTTTTTATTTTTTTTTTAATCTTAAGTTTTTTGATAATTATAATATTATATACATTAAAACTGTGTTAATTGTGACGTTATGAAAAATGTTATTTGTATATTTTAGGTGTTTTATATGGCTGTAGTGTTTTATGCCCCAGCCCTCGCTTTTAGTCATGGTAAGTATGTGTGGGGAAACTGCTGCAAATACCCTTAATATTACCATGGACCTTATAAATTATATATATACTATTCAAAAAAAGTAGGGGATATTTGATTTTGGGGGCATAATACTAAAATATGCAAATGACTACGAAAAAAGTCACTATAGAACCTAACAGAAGAAACATTTCCAGTTACATGTGACGCCCAAACGCACCAATAGCTACCGCATGGAATGCAGGTGATGCTTGGGATCATCATGGGGGTCCAACCCAAGATTTGCACGACTCTGACTTTGAATGTTACAGTCATTGTGGCATTGAATTCCAGGGTGGAAACATCAGTTTAATTGTTTTAGTGACCAGAAAACAAATTTTGATATGCGTCGGCTTACCCAAAATGAAAGGTTACGTGCCCTTGGCATGCTACAGATCGGCACAACACAGGCGGTTGTGGCGCGGACGATGAATGTTTCTCAGTCTGTCATAAGCAGGCTATGGTCCAGATACCGTGATACACAATCTGTACAGGACAGACCACGCTCAGGTCGACCAAGGGCGACAACTCAAGCCCAGGATCGATTTATCCGTACCTTGGCCTTGAGAAATCGTGTCATCACAGCAAATCAGATCAGCGCTCGTCTTCAAACAGACACTGGTGTGAGAGTGAGTGGCCAGACGATTCGGAATCGACTGCATAGGGGTCACCTTCGCGCCCGGCGTCCTCGCGTGATCCCTTGTTTGAGAGATCATCACATTCAGGCAAGACGTCGTTGGTGTAGGGATCGTCAACACTGGGATAATCGACGCTGGAGCAATGTGATGTTTTCAGATGAGTCAAGGTTCACTGTTGATTTTTTGGACAGACGTAGGAGGGTGTGGCGTCGTCGAAACGAGCGCTTCCAAGACGTTAACGTCATCAGACATGATCGATTTGGGGGTGGTTCTGTTATGGTGTGGGGAGGCATCACTGTTGCTGGAAGAACGGCTTTACATGTTGTTGCAGGGCGTGTTACAGGCCAGTACTACCGGGACAACATCTTGGCAGTCCATGTTGTGCCGTTCGCACGACGTCATGGCCGCCGTTTCATCTTCCAGAATGACAACGCAAGATGTCACAGGGCCAGGATCGTTACAGGTTACCTCCAACAACAGAACATCACCACATTACCTTGGCCAGCACTGAGTCCCGACCTCTCCCCCATCGAGCATGTCTGGGACATGCTTGGACAGATGATACGTCAACGTCAACAACGTCCTGCCAATATCCAAGAACTTGCTGCTGCGTTGCAACAGGAATGGGACAATCTGGACCAAAATGACCTTAGACGTCTCATTAGGAGTATGCCACGTCGGATCAATGCTTGTTTGGCAAACAGAGGAGGATTTACCCGTTACTGACTTGGTTGTGATGCTGTGGTAACTTTGCTGTTTGACCCCGGGTATCATTTTACCCTTATAATGGTCAGTCTGTGCCTTACTTAGTCTAACGATCATTTGGAATAAATCGATGAATGTGAACTTCATTTCATTTTGTCATTTGTTTCTTCGTCAGTTTCATTAGGTGACTTTAATAACACTTAAAAATCAAATATCCCCTACTTTTTTTGAATAGTATATATATAAGGTCCATGATATTACCTACGATGAAGAGGGGTTGGGGTGGCCTAGTGGTCTAGAGTGTCACGCTTCGACCTCTAGCTGCCGGTTGTGGTTTCGATCCCTGGTGTGAGCGTATGTGGCTTGAAGATAGGAGCGCCTTCGCAACCTCGTGGGTTTACTCCGGGTACTCCCTCAGCAAAGGCCCCTGCGCGTGCGCTAAGATCATTAAAATGAAAATAAGACGTTAAATACTAAGTACAACTACAATGTACGATGATACTACGGTAAAGTGACTGTTCGATGACTTTTTGATTTTTTAAATTTAAAAATTAAAGGAGCTAAACCTCTAACTAAAGATTTTCCATAATATCCGAAATTAAAAAAATCATCATTCAGTCTATACTGTCAGCATATTTACAAAATATATTCCAAAGAACAATTCAGGGCAATGCCATCTTCCCAAATCAGGGCTATGTCATCTTCCCAAAACAGGGTTAGGTCACCTTCCCAAATCGAGATTATGTCATTTTCCCAAATCTATGAGAAATGGTATTAGATGTTCTAAAATGAGCAAGCATCGTTTTTTGATAACAACGAAATTCATCAAATAATCTGCCGCGAAAAAAAAAACAAAACAACAAAAAAAAAAAAAATAAAAAAATAACTTTACAAGCACTGGTAAAAACTCCAGTACTCTTCTTTTTTTCGTTAAAGAGGATTTGTGTGAAATTTAGATAAAGATCTGGCCGTTCTTGCTATAATAGTTCAAATAGTCAGTGACATCATGCATTGTCTGGAAATGTCGGCTTTGTCGGCCATATCAACGTTTAACGCAGATATAGCGGACATTGTCTAATCCACTCATTATTTAAGCCATCGGATGACGTTGAGAGTTGATTAAGGGCTTATCATGTCAATAACAATGGCAAATATTTTGTTCTCGCATAATGTCCCTTTAATTTTCAATGACGTTTGGGAGGTCTTAAAATATGTAATCGTTAATGAATAAATATAAACATGATTATACACTCTATCTGCACATTAGTAGAAGGCGAGAAACAAACTTTAGCAGTAATTTCTTCTTTTTGGATTGATGTTTGGAAACTCCAAGTTACATGTACATGCGTGTTAGTTAATTATACCCGAGTATCCCACTTTCACATGTGGTTTGGATAAGACTTTGGCAATAATTCCAAATTTTCTTTTAACTGTGATTTTCAACTATTTTAATAATCATAAAAATCATTGCTAAAAGAATATTACTGAAGTAGATATTAGCAACGGGAACCGCGGTGGCTCAGTAAGTAAGACACAGGCTTGCTGGTCTGGAGGTCTCGGGCTCGCTCCCGTTTTCGCCGAGAATTGGATAAGACTTTGGCAATAATTCCAAATTTTCTTTTAACTGTGATTTTCAACTATTTTAATAATCATAAAAATCATTGCTAAAAGAATATTACTGAAGTAGATATTAGCAACGGGAACCGCGGTGGCTCAGTAAGTAAGACACAGGCTTGCTGGTCTGGAGGTCTCGGGCTCGCTCCCGTTTTCGCCGAGAATTGGATAAGACTTTGGCAATAATTCCAAATTTTCTTTTAACTGTGATTTTCAACTATTTTAATAATCATAAAAATCATTGCTAAAAGAATATTACTGAAGTAGATATTAGCAACGGGAACCGCGGTGGCTCAGTAAGTAAGACACAGGCTTGCTGGTCTGGAGGTCTCGGGCTCGCTCCCGTTTTCGCCGAGAATTTTCCTCTGAAGTTTCCGGTTCGATTTTCCGTTGCCATTGGGACAAGCCTGACAAGGACAGCTATCTAGTCGTTCGAATGGGAAGAAAAACTGAAGTCCCGTGTACAGATTGGCATGCACGTAAAAGAACCTTGACAGTTGGAATTTCCCCCATGGCGTAGGACGTTAAACATCATTTCATTTCGATATTAACAAACATATTGTTACTATCTCCAGATAAATACAATAATTTCCCTCAGGTGCAGGAAGAAATTCCATTCACTTCATTGTTGAAGATCTCAGTGAGTATCAATCACAAAGCACTTGGTAAAAACAAGAGATTGGTTACATTGCTTTGGGCCAGATATTTCCTAGAACAATAAATACACGGCTGTATATTATTATCCTGTAGATAACTTAATGTCCATTAACTACTTGGTATACTCATCGTCGACGAGAAGAAACTCGCAAGTTTTTAATCCCGGTGCGAAACCCGTTGTTCAGCCAAGGACAGCTGTCTACACATTGGCGTGCACGTAAAAGATCCCGTGACCATTGGAATTCGATATAAGAGTAGGCCGTAGTGCCTCATAACACATTGTATGGCGTATGCCCGTCTTCATTAGCCCAGTATAGGAGCAGAACAGTAGGACGTAAAACCCCATTTTATTTCCGTTGTTCAGCCATGTGCTCATGTGGCCTAGTTGTTTTAGTGCACGTAAAAAGATCCCCGAGAGGCGACCCTACTCCTTGTCACATACAAGAGGGAAATGACAGACCTTATGATTTAAAGCACACGCGTTAAACCATTCATCCGTGTGCTTATTGTCCATGGTGCGACTGGGGGACTCGCGAGGAAAATGATCTAGTTGCTAGTTGTTCGAGTGCACACAAAAAGATCTCTCGAGGTTGGACAGGCGAACACACTCCTTGTCACATGGCCAAACCTCAACAGACTCCAGTACCCTACAGCTAGATGTGGTACCGGAATCCGCCGAGGTTTCCCGAGTGACTCCCTGTCCCGTACAAGCAGAGAATGACAGACCTTATGATTCAAAGATTTAAAACACACGCGTTAAACCATTCGGCCACCCAACCAAAAGAGACCCAATGCTATGAACTCATCGTGAAATTTGGGTGAACATTATTTTTAAACTTTAAATCCCAGTTTTTACAAAGTGATTACGTCTTAGTAAACAATATGGGGTATACATAATATATGCGTTAAATGTTAATACTTATAAGTTTATTTGCTTTAAAATTATATAATGAGAGTTTCTTCTACTCCAGTAATACGATTATTTACCTAAATCTTCCAATCAGGCTGGTACGATTGCTCGAAGGCTCTTGTGAATAAGTGGAATTATATGTGTGTGGCGGAGTGATACGAATTTGTTGATATTAGGTTAAACAAGACGTTATTTGACATTTCTACACCGTGATCTGACCCCTGTTTATTTTTCTACAGTAATGAGCACCATTTTCACAATAATGGAGTTTATTTTTGTTGCCAAAATAAAGAAATGAAGGTAAATGAACTGGTGTGGGCTACATCATCGGTGAGGTGATTTGATCGACATCTTGTGAAGAAACATCGACTGCCCAGTGAATTAACAATATTAAAAAAGCCGACTCATTAATATATCCAAAACAAAGTCAAATATGTTGTCATGGAAACACAAAATTAGTAAATATGAGAAATTTCTAATTAGCGAACGGTACGACTAGTGTAAGGTTGATGTGAGCACAGAGATCGCTTGAGCGGTTAATGACCTATTCTCCCGAAACAAAGCTTAAACATACATTATGCAAGAGCTAAATCTGTCTATTGCAGGTCTTTCTTTAGGCCTGAAATGTTATCTAAATTATTAATTAGACATTAATTAACTTATCCAGACCATAATCAACTCTCGATGGCATCGCTAGCCTGCGATGTTTATTGGATTGGATTCCGATTTGCTGTCCGACTTCCATCAATAATTTAATCATGAAATGGATAATCGAGACTGTGGTTTTTTTTTATCGTACCGACTTTAGTAATGATGATCGAAGCTAGGCCTAAAATTCAATCGCTAAAATCTCGGTTCAGAGTGGATCAACTTGACTGCAATTTTTAGCAAATTGCCTTTACATTATCTAGTATTTAACTATTATAGTGGGAACTGCCAGCTCTTTATTTAATCTCCCATAATGTATCTTTAACTTCGTTAGGCGCGGGATAATAAAATCTAGTATCATTAGTACCACGCGTTAAATTTTAATCGAAATAGGAAAAGAACAACGTGGAGATGACGTGAACATGTAAAGATGAACAAACTACAGGGAATATACCCCGAGAACCACTGATAACTTCTTCATTGTGCACATTTCTTTCTAATAATTCCTCCTTATCTCTAGTATTAAAGGAGCCAAGTCTTTAACTCGATATCATCCACAGTCTTCGACATTGCAAACACGACATATTGGTTAATTTAAATCAACATTGATGTTGTTATCTTACCGCGAAAAGTTTGGCTTCTGATATCCAATCGTGTACCAGAATGCTTTCGAGTGCCAGTTGTATGAAGCGATTCGGTAAACATACCCCATATAGGAGAATACTACCGGTGTAGACTGAAATAACCAGACGCCAAAGACTGCCATTCAATTCAGACTCTTCGCGTATTTAGACGAACAAAACTGACTAGAAATTACCGTAAAAAAAAGGAAACAATTGAATGTAAATCAGTTTATATACATTCATATTACATTAGTATATGCGTCGCGAGCCATTTGTGTCCATTTCTAGGTGCCAAAGAATAGAGATTTAGCCCCTTTAATGTTGATCAGTATTGCAACTAAAAATGTTCATCTTTATTTTCAGTAAGTGGTCTATCTTTATGGGTATCTGTATTAGCAGTTGGCGCTGCCTGTACCATATATACCTCTATTGTAAGTTCTTATATCACATTTAATTACTTAATGTTGACTTTGTTGTCGGATTTTGTAGTCGACTTGTTTCAAATTCCCGCGTGGACCGAGAAGGATTTTTGGGTTGAGGCTCTTAGACGGAACTTGTCACTACGTGCACATTGACGTGCATGTAACAGAAACCTGGATAATTGGAGATCGGAACAGTGGGAGGTGGGGGTGTGTGGCGTTTACACCACTACTCGGGCCAAACTCCCCCCCCTCCCTCATTACACACACAACCATACAAATGACAATTATCAGGTTTATTCAAGTCCGGTTTCAAGTGCAAAGGGTTTGGCAAGGATAGGCGTGTAGTCGTTCGCATGAGGTCCACCCGTTTCCGCGTTGGTTTTCAGGTGCAAGAACCATTGACCTTGTAAAATTTCCCCATAGCACACTGTATGGCGTACGACCAAATTCATTAGCCCGTTAAACCCCATTTCATTTCATATCATTTCGTATTTTCAGGGTGGATTACGGGCCGTTATATGGACAGATTTCTTCCAAGTATTGGTTGTTATATCAGGTTTATTAGCCTTGGTTATCAAGGGTACCATGGATGTAGGAGGACTTGGAACAGTGTGGGAAAAGGCGCGGGAAGGTGGGCGCCTCAATATGTTCAGGTAATATTATCAGATGGATTAGAAAATTAAAATAGTAAAATAATAACATGGGACATGTTTCTCGATATCTTAACTAAAGATAAAATCCAATTTTAGTAAAGACTTCAATTTTGATTGGCTAAGCACTAAACTCAATCTAATATTATCCAATCAAATTACTAAAATTTGGATCTTATCTTAGTTAAAATTTCGTGAAACAAGCCCCTGTATCTTAATAGATATTAATCTTCGGCTTCGGTATTTTGAACTTCACATCTCTACACCGGGATGGAACATGGGACCTCCAGGTTAGAGAGCCAACGTCTTACTCACTGAGCAACCGTGGCTCCTCGGTGTATATATAACAAGGAGGTTCTGTTTTTTGGCCTTTAAAGCTCCTGCTGATTTTCCATTGTTAGGTGTTTAATAAGGTGGTGCCGGAACGGAACAGCGACTAGTTTGTTCGGTGGAACGATGGATCGAGATCCCGTATATTCCTTGGCGTGCACTTAAAAGACCCTCTAACAGTTGGAATTCAACGAAGACTAGGTGGATGTACGTTTCCATTAGCCATGTTGTGGCAAACAAATAGGACAGTAAATCCCATTCCATATCATTTCATTTGGAAGCATGCTATTCCACCTTGTCTCCATTAGTATACGCGATTGGCTTTCCGAAAATTGACATTTTCTAATGAATGAAAATTATTTCATGATCATCATAAAAATTTATTTCACAAATCTTGTAGTTTTGATCCGGATCCAAGACATCGTCATACTGTATGGAGTTTAATCATTGGTGGAGCAGTTACAACACTCAGTGTTTATGCTGTCAATCAAGCCATGGTACAAAGATATTTATGCGTGAAAAATCAGAGAACTGCACAAGCGTAAGTTTTAAACTAGTCATAGGCGTATCTGAAGAGGGGTTCAAACCCATTAATGTCTCTAACAAAATTGCATAGATAGTTTTTACGTTTTGGATAGTGTAGATATAGAATGTTTTCGGTCCTTCCAATAAAGGGGTGCATACGATGAACTGACGGAACCAGGATGGTGCCCATCGATGATGGAATTAGTAATTAACAATCCATGATAAGACTAGTAACAATCCATGATGGAACCCATGACAATCAAGGATGGAACAATTGCAAGTAACAATCCAAGATGGGACTAGTAACAATCCTAGCTGGAACTAGTAACAATCCAAGCTGGAACAAGTAATAATCCAAGATGGGACTAGTAACAATCCAAGATGGGACTAGTAACAATCCAAGATGGGACTAGTAACAATCCATGATGCAACCATGACAATCCATGATGCAACCATGACAATCCATGATGGAACCCATAACAATCCATGATGGAACCTATAAGCATCCGTGATGGAATTAATAAGAATCCAAGGAATTTTATGCGTAATTGTTCAATTTTAGCTGCCAATCAAGCGTGGCTGGTTGCTCATATTAAATAATTGCTATGACCCCCCCCCCCCTCCAAAAGAAAACCTCATTTATTTAACTTCGGCCAATGACTCAGAACACACATTCCTTAAACACCTATTGACACACTTTAATAATGTTTTATTCTTTTTTTTTTCAGGACAATTTATTTTAATCTACCAGGGAATATCATCACCACTACCATACTAACATTATTAGGTTTGGTGGCCTATGCTAAATATAAAGATTGTGATCCATTATATAGTGGTAAAATTACACAGTTAGATCAGGTGGGTGATAGGGTGGAGGAACGGTAATTCTTGAGCGAAGCTGGCAAGCGTTAGCTACGTTCACGACAAGAGTCGTGGTGGGGGTGTCGGAGTCGTTCTAGGAATTTGGAAGGGGTGGTGGTAGCTTTCTCTAAAACCGCGGGGGCACGTGGACGGTCATTTCCGAGCGAAGCTGGCAAGCGTTATCTAAGTACACGTAGTGGGGTTGTCGGGACCTTTCAACGAAATTGGAACTGTTTTCAGTGAGTTAAAGACATAAATGTAATTTATTTGTTGAAAAGGTAGAGAACCAACCCCACACCCACCCCAAGCTTCGAAATCCTAATGTTGCCTCTGTGAGTCCAAATCTAAGCTCAAATTCTAAGTGAATGTCAGCATTCACCTTCCTGATTTCTATTAGTTTGGCGCCAGTATGATAGTTCGGATCTGTTACGATGAGTAAGTGGTTTCTCCGAGGTGCCTCTAGTCTCTTGGACTGTAATATTTACTGATGTTGATGCTATCAAGTCGGTAAACACGGAAAGAGTTATTTCAAACTAACGGGTATTAATACAAAAAGTACATGCTAACATTGTAAGATACACTATTGATATTTTTCAGCTAGTACCATTCATGGTTTTAGAAACCTTAGGTGTTCTACCAGGTCTAGCTGGACTGTTTGTGGCTTGTGTTTTTAGTGCTGCTCTAAGGTAAGCCATTTTCATTTAATGTGGTCGCATATTTTCCTAACCTGCGTTCGGTGACCCGGCGTCTCGACGTCCCTACTAGTCTACATAGCTCTTTACGGATTTTTGTCAAATTCATAGGGATTAGGGGTGTGGATGGCCGAATGGTTAGCGCGTGCGCGCTGTATCATAAGGTCTGTCATTGAGTCAACTGGCGTGGTTTCGATTACCCAGTTGTACGTGACAAGGAGTAGGGTCGCCTGTCCAACCTCGTGGGTTTTCTCCGGGTCCTCTGGTTTCCTCCCACTGCTAAAGACCCCTACGCGCAAGCGAATTATTGAAATAAAATTGAATCATATGTTAGTCCCGAAATGACCTAGTTTGTGTCGAGTGGACGTTAAACCCCATCTCTCTCTCTCTCTCCCTCTCTCTCTTATAGGGATTATTCATTGGGTCATAAGTAAGGCCCCTATCCGAAATGTTCCTTTCGCACATTTTCTACCGTGAAATGTTTCGTTGAGCCATAAGGAAGAACCCTCAGGACCAAGAATTTTAAAAGTTTGTAAAGGCAATGAATCAGACATCTTAGTGGTATAGTTGTACAAGTTGGCAGGGAATAAAGAAACTATTCGAAATTCACTCTTTTCGGGTGGAAGCTGGAGAGTTAACTCTCGGTTTATGGTTTAAATTATAAGGACATTGATATCTATGTAATTTTGTAAACTCGGTTTTAAAATCAGCACAGGTGTATAATAGGCCTGGGTAAGCTATAGACTTAAGTTATAGGCCTGGGTAAGCTATAGACTTAAGTTATATCCTGTTATTGTTATATCACACCATGCTTGTCCAATTGGATTGTATACAGATTATATTACAGTAGTGTATCATCTGGGGTAAATGTATATTATATATTACAGTACTGTATCGTCAGGCGTGAATGCCCTAGCTCTAGTATATCTAGAGGATGTAGTAAAACCAATATATAAGATGAAGAAAGGAAACCAGATGGCAGATGGCTTAGCTAGTTTTGTATCTAAAGGTTTGGGTAAGTCTTTAAGAGTCCAATTGCCACTTGATCTTTCCAGCCATATATTGTTTCTTTGCATAGGAGTCTGTTAATGTGGTTTAAATGTTAATGGTTAGGATAAAACGACATGGTTCTGGTAATAATAAGGATAAAACGACACAGTTCAGATAATGTTATGGATAAAATGACACAGCTCTGGCAATTATCCGGATAAAAAGACACAGTTTTGACGATGCTAAGGATGAAATGGCACAGTTCGTTCTGACAATGCTATGGACGAACGGACGAAGCTGTGGTAATGATATGGATGAATCGACACACCTTTGGCTATGCTAATGATGACACGACACAGTTATGACAGATATACACAAAACGACCTAGTCCTGGCAACGTTAAAGAAAAGATGACACAACTCTGACAGTGGTATGGATAAAACGATTTGCTTTGGTAATAGGATAGAATGAACACAATTTGGGTAATAGCTATGATGCATAGTTGTTCTGGGTGCGGTTATTGTTAGGGCAGAAGGCTTTCCCCTGGTAGTATAAGGTAGATCACAAAAATGTCATGGGCTGTAAAGGCGATCTCATTAAATATATGAAATGCTACATTTGTATTTCTTGTTTCTTTTAAGCTTTGTTCTTTGGTGCTTTGACCATAGGTCTAGCGTTTTTATCCAGTCTTATGGGAAGAACTATTTTACATATAACACTTAGCTCCTTCGGAATGACTGGAGGACCTTTATTAGCATTGTTTATATTAGCAATGTTCTTTCCTACAGTTAATTCATGGGTAAGTAAAGGAAAATCTTTTTATTTTTATGGAGTCTGCATTATCTATTTCCATGTATTTCTAACCTAATTACTGAGTAAAGTTCTTGAAAATGATACCGAAATGTCAGTGTTCGAATTTGTCCACATAAAATCCCTCCAAGGACGTTCTGTAGAGGGCCTGTGAAATGAGAAAAATAGTTCAGGGTCGTCGATTTCGGCTAAAAAATATATGGTCGGTCCGATAACCGTAAACACTGGTATTTTTAATTTTGGCCTTATGCAAATCATTAGTTTCCCCTTTTCTGATCGATGCTAAGATGTAATTATTGATGTTGATTGATTTCGCCGAAAATTTTTGATAAGTTTCTTGGGTAGGCCCTCTGCTCCCGGTACCTGCCCGTCCCTGCCTATTCTTCGAAATTCTGTTGCCCCGATTTGTCAGTGCTGCAGCAGGACGGGTGGATGCAAACAAAAGAAGCCTCGACAGTTAGAATTCGATGAATAACAGGTGGAAAAACCGCTGTCCGGGCAAAATGTCTCTCCTATCACACTGCATGTCGTGTGTCCATCTTCATTAATCCGCTTAGTGCAGAAAGTGGGACGTTAATCCCTACTTCTTTCAGTCATTCTGTCTCCCCTCCATCTCTTTCTGGAACACCTGATAACACTTACCTCAATTTATGTTGTACTTGTGTATTCCTATGATGATATAATAAGACCCTTTGTATTTTTCAGGGAGTAGGCGTTGGCTTAATCTCAAGTTTAGTATTTAGTTTTTGGTTAGGAATTGGAACCATTATCAGCCGTCCGCCATTACCCATTCTTTCTCTTAAAACTAGTGAATGCCCTATAACACAAACTGTAATTAATAACATCACACAATCTGTAGAACCATTTGTGACGTCAACTATTATGTATGACGTAGACAATAATATGACGTCATATTCAACAGGTGCGCTGGAGGCGTCGACGGCAGCTTATGTTTCTAGATACAGGTACATATTAGTTATAAATAACGCATTTACCTGACTTAATTGGGGACCAAACAAATAATACAAGATGACGCCATTGTCACTCGGTACTAGACAGAGGCCTTATTCCAAGAGAGTCGCGCTAATATATTCTAAGAATACTGCCTTATCATTGACTGGATGCTAAAATCTTAGTACAAATTTAGCTCTTATTATATACTCTTCAAAAAAAGTAGGGGATATTCAGAAACAATACAAAACTGCGGAAATGCACTGCTGTTTTTATTAGAGGTAACCAGTGTATGTTAATAACAGGTCAATTACCTACACATGAACATAAACAGTTCATATGGGCGGCTTATCTGACGGCCCCATTTCACTCGCAAAGAGTGAAAATGGACGGTTTTGATTTTTGTCTTAATAATGAGTAATTGCTCCACCAATCCTCAGACATTCAGCCATTCATCTTGGCATGCTCCTAATCAACAGTCCAATCACGATTTGGGGCAATCTGACCCACTCCTCTTGCAGTGCCACGGCCAATTCTGCAGTAGTGTCGGTTGACGTTGACGTCGACGAACATGTCTCCCGATCAAATTAAACGTAACAAACTAAAGCAAAGATACGATAAACAGTAAATCTTATGCAAGAACCGATAGGAAAGCAAACATGGATAGAAAAAAAACCAGCATGCGGCAGTTTTCATCAACCCTTCCTTGAAGTGTCAAATTTGACAATGAACCCCTCCCACGTGTATGGCGCTATTGTGTGTCGCGTATGCAGCTCAGTGGTTCTGTTGGGGCGATACGTTCTTCATCTGTGAACATACTCTCAAAGCATGTCAAATGTCCATGGCTATTTATCATATCGCAACCTGCATAGGTATTTGCATTTCAATATCCCCTACTTTTTTTTGAAGAGTATAATATTATATCGAATGCAGAGTCTGAAACCTTAACATATTTTACTGTAAGATAATCCTATTTTTTTGACTAGCGCCCCTGTCATGGTAGTCTACAGGGAACTGTAGTAAGGCCAGTATTGTTATTACTGTACATCATTGACTACCGCGTACGATTTACCTCGCGTGATTCGGTAGAACGGGGTAGTGAGTAAAAAAGTTTCCTTGCATCCGTGCTATTACAGTAATTACACCCAAGACCTTTACGTTGAATAATGATAAGGGTCAATAGCTCCCCAATAGTGACTGACGTGCCAGTAAAAGCAAGGCGAGATAGAGAAATAGAGGTGGAAGAACCGTTTAAATCCTGTACATTTATAAGAAACGATTTCTGATAATGTATGTAAAGCTATGAATCAGACTATACCTGGTGATAATAAGTATATTTTATTTGTAGATATACTGGTTTAGAGATATATCGTGTATCATATATGTGGTATAGTAGTATAGCAGTTATAGTTGGTATTTCTGTAGCTTTGATGGTTAGTTGTGTATCAGGTTAGTAGACAGCGATACCCTTTTCTCTGTGTATTGCGGACATCACACGATCCCGAAATTGACACCAGATAAAGTAAATCTTCAAATTCGGCTCTGGGGCCTGTTTCACGAAATTTTAATTAAGATAAAATCCAAATTTTGGTAATTTGATTGGATAATATTAGACTGATTGTAGTGCTTAGCCAATCAAAATTGAAGTATCTACTAAAATTTGGATTTTATCTTTAGTTAAAATTTCGTGAAACAGGACTCTGATCGTAAAAACATCGGGCCATTCGTGAGGGCATCTGGCGTCAATTTCGGGACATTGTAACCCCCACGAAAGCATGATCTTCCTGACTCTTAAGAGCCATCGTGTGGCCTTCGTGTGTCCTTTGATTATAAACTACTATAAACAAATCACATCTACGTATTACCTTCGTGTGTAGTTCGGTTGCCATCGTGCGTCCTTCTGTAGGCATCGCACCAGTTTCGGCTGTTGATTGTCTGTTGACCAAGTTCGGGGTCATCTTTCCGCGAAATTCAAAATTCAATATTCATATAACCATCTGGTGTAAATTTCGGCACAGTATGACGCCCGCATATATAATACGTAAACATTGTGGCCCGATTATATTGGTGCTGTATAGTCATAGGTTATTGAAGACTGACTCATGAAGACGGGCATACGCCATGCTGTGTGCTATGAGGGAAAGCTTTTCAGGATAGCGGCATTTCCATCCACTCTTTTTCGCAACTTCCGCCTTCCCCTACACCACTGATGGAACGTCCAACTCCTTTAAGGATCATAATACGCCATTTTATGACCTAAGCCAGAGATTTGTATTGTTTCATTTGCATTAATTTATATTTCCGCTATTTTAATATTTTCTTTGATTATAGGAGGTCAGAAAAATCCCATTAATCCAGCGTTAATTATACCGGTATGGCGGAATATCCAGTCTTTATTTGGAAAGAAGTCAAAATCATTGGAAATCACTAAACACGAGGCATGTATCTTTAAGCGACAATTAATAAATTAATAGGCTTTCGTGGTATTCTATTATCATTTTTGTACAGAAACGTTATAAAATGAAATGGGGTTTAACGTCTTACTTTTCTGCATCCGCGTGTCTATTTGAATAAATAAAAACTGGTATAAGCAAAGCCGTGTACTAATGGAGAACGGTTTCCTTCCCAGGCCCCCGTTCAGCACCACGGACAAGGGTATCCAGGCTGGAAAATACCGAAAGACGAACCCGGGAGCCATACACACCGAGTCACCGTGGCTTATACAAAATTGTAATTTATGAAACTGACAGTGATCTCGGCGAACCTCCCTGTTTATGTTTGTAAGTGAGATCAATGCCACAACTCTGGCCATTTGCAAAATAGCGTTAGCATGGTTTTGTAATATTGAGTCTAGCGGTAAAGACAGCGGTATCGTGACTATATTAGCCTGGGTTCGAATCCCTATGAAGGCCGCCTAGAACCTTGGATTTTTAAAAAAATAAACGTTTCCTATAGTCGTTCGGATGGGACGGAACACCGTGGTCCACCCGTGTGCACACTAATGTGCACGTAACAGAACCCTTGACGGTTGGAATTCAACGACGGACAGAAAGTCACTGTTCGAGCAAAATTCGCACACGTGCCCATAGGGAAAAAAATCGTATGTTCATCTCAAAATGACCTGAGACGTTAAACTCCATTCCAATCATATCAATCTGGTTTATTGCAGATTTTATATGTGGTGGTTTTTTTTCTATTTCAGCGGTTACAATTAAAAGAGTCTACATAACAATACAAGTCTTATGTTGGTTTGCGGAAAAGTAATTTGTGTTTTGGCATCGTTTGTAATTAATTCAATGGTGTATTGTGGACGAAGATATTGCGATCCGGACCACGTAGCTAAATGGACATATTGAAAGTGTTATACGATGATCATTCATTGCCCGGATATAAAGATACACCATTCTGCGCACAGAGAACAATCTAATTTGAATGGCCGCCATATTTAAAAATTAGTATTCACTATTGTGAAATGCGGTTCTAATCCGTTCTACATCTGTCATACAAACAAAGACTAAATAAACATTCTCAATATTCTCGCAGCATAGTTAGTGTTTTCGACTAAAATCGCTGATTTAGGAATTAAAATGTCGGCCAACCAGTTACGTGTCTGTCATCAAGCTGCACTAATTGTAGACAAGCAGCGTAACCTTCGTATGATCATTGAAATGTGATTTTTATTATTAAAAAAGACAATGTATTTAAATAATCGATCAAATTTGTATGTAATCAATGATAATCAATGCCTGTAAATGATTTTTTATAGTTGTTTTTTTTTATTATGGTTATTAAAAATTATCGTGTGGTTATGTCTTAGACAATACAGGAAGGTTTTAAAACTATAACAATGCAGACAAAATCCAAAGCTATTAGATTATAGTTTCATTATTGCACAATAAGGATTGTTGACCCTAATTTTAGACCAGACCTATCCTATAATCTACAGATTATTTTGTTGCGCAACCGTGTTTGTTTGTTGAGGGAGGGGGGCAGTTTTTCCCGTGAAAAAAAGTTACCAATCACTTAGTCCGATTAAGATGACCTGACTCAGGGTTTATCAAAGATTTTTGTGGCTAAGTCCTAACAACCATGTCATGGACTATCTGGATATACAGAATTAATGCAGATGCGGGGTTCTCTGAGATTTGTAAACTGTCCCAAAGGGTTAGCAAGTGGAAAAAGATCGGGAACCCCTCTGTCAGATTTTTACCTTGATATATTATAGTTTTTCTGTCACATGTAATAACCCCACTCACAGATCTCCTCGTGTATATACCTACGTGTTGATTGTATATACATTGATTGTATATCATTTGCTTCAAGCATATTTCAGACTCGGTCATTTATTTGAAATAATAGATTGTTTTAAAATAAAAAATATATAATGTGAATAAAAAGTTAATTATACTGCCTAATTCATTTGAAAGCGATGTCATACATACATAGGCTGAGTGAAATTTGGTGTGGACTACTTGATCTTTTTATGAGACAGAGAACTAACCCGATTCAAAGATGAAATGAAATGAGGTTTAACGTCCTACTATTCTGCTCCGACTTGGCTAATGAGGACGGGCATACGCCATACACTGTGCCCAGAAGAGCCGCAAAAACTCTAAACCCATGACGCAAAGAGTGTCACTGCATCCCCTTCACTGAGCCCCTGCCTATTTCTGTGCGAGCATATAAAATACTTCGTAAATTGTTTACCATTTCCCTGCGTGATTCCATACAGTTGCCTTCGAAAACAAAAATAACCAAATAAAATATTTGAATCCTATTTCTGTCACAGGTGTGCCCGTCATAATTATCACTAGGTGCTCTGAAACAAGTTTCTATACTCTGCAAAACGCATGATGATCGACAATTTGGATATATAATACCAAACTGGATAAAAGGATAAAGTTTGCAGTCATCTTACAAGATATAAGAGTGCTCTGTATGGAATTTGTATTCTCATGATCGTTACAAAAAGTTGATAACAAGTTGTTATAGCTCTTATAAGTTCGTCTCCATGGCAATACGAAATAGAATGAGATGGGGTTTAACGTCCAACTGTTCTGCTCCGGTAGGGCAAATGAAGATGGGCATGCGCCATACAGTGTACTATGAGGGAAGTTTTTTTCCGGACAGCGGCACTACGGCCTACTCTTATATCGATTTAAAACTGCCAAGGAATCTTTTACGTGCACGCCAATATGTACACGGGACCTCGGGTTTTCGTCGCATCCGAACGACTATACGTTGTTCCGTGCCAAGCCCTCTGCCCTGCACCACTGACAATGGGGAAAATCCCGATGAACGTTCTCGGCCAACGCAGGAATCGAACACGGGGCCTCCAGGTAAGCGAGCCAATGTCTTACTCACTGAGCCACCGTGGCTCCCCTATGGTTACACATGCATGATGATAGCTAGCACATAGAAGAAATAACCTGCTGGCTAATAATAGATCAGAAATTAATTTCATTGTAATCATGCTGATTCTAGCAGAAGCGACGGTGGGGTAGGTAAGGATGTGTGGAATTGGGGGAGGGGGTAGTCATCTGTTTATGAGGTGAGCTGAAAACTATATTATGATATGTTTCAATGCGTTCATTTGCGAGATCAAACGTTTAACATTGTCCACGAATATGCATGCAGTTACACGCATCTTCTCGACAACATCTTTCACATGTAGGAACCAAATTTAATCTATTTCTTTTTTGTCAAAAGAAAATGTTATATGCAGACTGATAAAAAATATCTTATATTCGCGTTCGTCCTAATTAATCCCACTTACATCTTAAAGGGTGTGTGGCTCGTTGGAAAATTGAAATATTAATGTAATATGAATGTATATACAGTGAATTATGCCTAATCCATTCTACACGTTTTTCATATTCATCATGAGATATCAAAAAAAAAACAGCTTTCTTTAGATTTTATGTAAGTAACCAACAACTTAAACTTAAACTCTAGAATTAATATTTCATGATAGTGAGGAAAAATTTACATAAGTGGTCTGTACCCAGATCAAGTCATATAGAGTTATTCATTCTTTTGGAGTAATTATTTAAAAAAAAAGTTTTATTTATGTCAATTGTAATAATGACCATTATCATTAGATATGAAATAATATTTTATATTTATATGAATATATTATGTAAATATGTTAGAGACATTAATTATCTGATCTTCAAAGTAGATGGCTATAACCTACACTTTTGTATCCATAAAATAGTTACTCCCTGTAAAATGGCAGCCTGCTGTAAAGATTTATTTTTGTGTCGGGCATTATAGTTTTGTACTAAAAAAACCCTATTTATTTACTTTTATTTGCACCATGTCTGATACGTGGAGTGATATCCTAGCCGTTAAAACTAAACAGAATAGTTTACGTGCTAAATTACAGCAAAGAAAGAAAGAAAGAGAGGGTTTAGCCAAGGAACTTGGAGTTTCTCCATCCAGCACTTCCACTGCGTCTTCAGCATCGTCCTCCACCACATCGATTGTTGGTAAGAAACATTCGTTTTTAAAAAAACAAAAAAAACAACAACAACAGAAACCGTGTCTTGGGTGGTCCACTTTTGTATATGTATGTTTCAAAGATTTCTTTGTCCACTGAGTGACTGAAATGAAATTTAATTACATGTATGTTCTAATGCATTCTTACATTCTAATAATGATTATTAATATTTACATGTATGTTCAAATGTTTCCTGATTTGAGTGTCGGTATTTAAAAATGAACCCATCTTGATTTATATATATAGAAAGGGCATTACATGATCCTCATTTTGATTGTCTTCCAGATTCTGGTCTTAATACACCGACTTCCAAAGCATCATTTGATAATGTCACTGTTAGTGCATCTAATGAATCAGCCATTCTTACAAAGAAGGAGATTATACATCCAGAAATCGAAAAGAAACTTCCTTATGTGCTGTGTGACATGAATCTGGAGCTTCCCGCTGAATCATCTGTTATAACTGGACTTCTAAATAAAATGTTAGGACAAGATGTTAGTGATTTCATTGTTAAAGAATTATTAGAAAAATTTTCTGCTCAACAGTTAATAAGGTAAACCTACAAAAAGAATGAATTTCTTAGATATTTCTAATAGAAGAAAAATGGAAGACGCCTAATTATAATATAAAACTTGAACATGTATTTATTATACCCTGTCGTTTGAAGAAAGCAGGGGACTATCTGTCCATCCTTCAATCCATCAGTTCGCCAAGCTTTTTGGAACACAATAACTCTGCTTCTAATAATAATTGAAGTAGAATGTCCAAACTTGGTGTAAATGCTGATTATGTGACTGCCTTTTGTGACTATAAGTTTGATGATTAACATTTTCTGCTATGGTTAAGCAGAGATAAGCTTTGGGACATTGATCAATGATTTGGGACACAATAGCTTTGATCCTACTTGAGCGAGAATGGTTACATTTGGTGTACATATATAGTGTATGACATAAAAACCTTGATTAAGTTGTAACATAAGCATTTTCTGCTTGGGGCTAATTATAGATAAACATTGTTATTGGTTAATGCTTTCAGAGGGATAAATGTACTTATTTTTATGTATCATTTATTTATTTTTAATATTAAGGTTGGATGGGGGGGGGGGGGGCGGTGGACATCAGCCTCGAAGTTGGCTTGTTTTATTAGAGTTGTAAATGTCTTTTAGTTTCATTATATTTTTTTCATTCTAGTATATTAAAAAGTGGCTCTGATAAAACAACATTTACTGTCACCTCTGTTGATTTATCAAAGGTAAAATTATCTTTTCTTGTTTTTTTAAATAATAATGTTTTCAATCTGTGATTGACATAAAATAATTGATTTGTTGATGTAGTACTCTTAAAAGAGGTTTATTTCAAACTTTTGCCAGTCAGTCATTTTTTTAATTCAGATTTATAAGCACGATACTTTTGTCTAAAAAGTAACATTTACCATTATCCAAATATGATCAATTTTACTGTGTTTGCTAGATTTAATTTTTTATTCTATTTCTTTATTCAGTTATCAGCACTGTATAGTGATGTTGGAGGGACCAGAAAGAGGAAAAGGGATGAGTAGGTATTTTTTCAGATCATAAAATAATGTGTCCTAAAATACCTGCAGTTACCTGTACATGTATTTATTACCTCAGAAAAGTAGAATGATAAACCCCATGTCATTCATTCACCAGAAGAAATTACCTCATTCCCTCTAATTAAATGAAATATTGTTCTGCACCACATATACTGACAGTGGTATTGATCTCATCCAAATGACTGGATGCTTATTCGTGCCAGACCCTCCATCCAGCACCAGTGACAGGAGGAAACCCGGCTTCTCGAGCAACCTGAGGCCTCTTGGTCTGTGAACCAGCGTCATACTCACCGATCATCTGTGGCTTTCACACGGATTTCAGTCAAATTGATCCACTCTGTACCAAGATTTTAGCGATTGAATTTTCGGACTAGCCTTGATTGTCATTACTATAAAAGTCCCAACAATAAAAAACATAGTCTCGATTATCTACTTCATGATTAAATCATGAATAAAAGTTGAGCAGCAAATAGGATCCTAATCCAGTAAATATCACAGGCTAGCGTTGACATTAAGAGTTGATTAATGTCTAATAAATAATATAGATAACATTTCAGGCCTAAAGAAAGATCTGCAATAAGCAGATTTAGCTCTTGCATAATGTATGTTTAATAAATGGCATTAAAACAATATATTATTGTAGTGATGATGATATAGAAGAAGAAGATATTGGTTCGTCTAAACATCAGAAGAAGAATGAATCAGCGTTACCTGATGATAGTATCGAGGTAATTATCAAATCAAATTCACTCTACAACTTACAAATTTTATATTCGTCAAAATGTACTGTAGAAAATTGACAATTAGGCTAAGCCAATGTAATATTTAGTTTTTCAGGGTTTTGATCAATAAATAACATGGTCAATTCTTGTGTGCAATGAATTGTCAAAATTTTAAAACTTCAATACATGTATTTGGAACTAAAGGCTTTTCAGAAGAGCAACTAAGTACTTTTTGTTTTTAAATTAGTTTTTTTTTTCCTGAAAAATTGGAGGCAGAATTTTAATAGGTGTTCACGAGGAACAGAAATTCAAATTTGTCTGGCCTTATCACTGGCTGATTGGAGAGTTATGAATGACAAGATTGAGCTAAGACAAATGATATTTTATACTGTTTTATTTTCTAGAGTTTATTGAATACTCAGTCAGCAAAAGAGAAAGAAAATAAAAAAGTTAATGAAGAAATTTTACAGATATTGAGTCAACCAACAGCTAAGGTAGGCAATAATTAAATATAAATGTGGTTGATAAAATAAAATATGGACATCATAAATTGCTGTGGGTGTATGTTGCCTGGCAACTTGCCTTTGATTTTTTTAAATTGAATTTTCAAGTGAAGGAATTACTAGCCCTATGATACATTATGAATATTGTTTTATTAATTTATTTTTTTACAGGAACAATATTTGGTGGAGAAATTTAAATCAAGGGGAGGTAAGTCTTTTTTTTGTTTATGAATAGATTTATTTTCCTGGAATATAATGAATATTTGTTCCATAAAAAATTTACTTCAAAGCTGCCGATCAGACGATATGTGAATTTCTCATGGCTTAATCCATGCTAAAATGTACATGCTAAAATATTAAAGTTAGATAATCTCACAAGTTGCAATTGGATTCAGTCAGATTAAAATCGGGCCAATCATAAGATTTTATCCCAAGATTTATAGGTGACACTATCTTTAACAATGTATCGTTTAGAGTTATCAAATATAATTGGTGAATGTTTTGTTATTATGACTACCTTTATTTCAGGTGCTCAGTTGAAAGAATTTTGTCAGTTTGGAACAAGAGAAGAATGTAAAAAAATAAACAATGCTACAGAACCGTGTAATAAACTACATTTTAGAAAAATTATACATAAACACACTGATGGTAAGATTTCTGTAATAGGTTGAAGAAAGAGAGGGAGAGAAATGAGTTTTATTGTCCACTCAACACAAACTGGGTCATTTAGGAACTAACTTCTTAGGGTGAAGAGGGTTTACGATAGTTAATAGTAGGTGCAGGAGGACCGCAACAATTACATGAGTGTCCTGGGTTTGAACCTTGGGAGGATTTTTTTACCGTCCATCAGGGATAATACCTGCAGGACAGAGAAAGTGTGGTGGTCAATTTTGAATGACAAACTGTTATCCAACAATATTCACATTAGCATGTCAGTAAAAATCCCTTGAAAGTGGTATAGGCAGAAAACTCCTGTCTAGGCTATATTCACCATCTTCTGAGAAGGTAGTAGTAGTCGAGTGGTGAAAACTAGACTGTCCTAGGTTTAAATTTCTGCATTGGTTATTAGAGGCGGAGCCTTCAGGGCTTACCTGGAAAGTCTGCTTAGTAGATGAAAACCTGGGGTTCGTACATGTACCTATTGCTGTACATGTAAAAGAGCTTTCAACAGATGGAAATTAAAGAAAGTGTCTGTCTATATTTGATATATTAGTTCCACACATAAGTCAGTATTTAGATATAACTAAAATTAGTCATCAAACTGATATCCACTTAATATTTAAAAACACACATTTAATTGTTCGCAGACTTTGCCATCTTGAAACTAATCCCATGAGAAATTTTATTTTAACATAAATCATAAGGCAGAAGAATTGATGTTGAATATATTAATTCTACCTCCCAGGTTTAATGTTTTTCTTTATTTTAGAATCTCTTGGTGATTGTTCTTTTCTTAATACATGTTTTCACATGGAAACCTGTAAGGTAAGAATTATGAATTATATTGCCCTCTTCTTATATCTAGTGGTCAATGATATTTCTACAACATCTCAGATGAATTATACCTTTTCTAGTTGGGAATCACGGTTGCTCAATCAGTAAGATGTTAGCTTGTTAACCTGAAGGTCCCGTTTTCGATCCCTGCATTGGCCAAGAAAGTTCATCAGGATTTTCCGATGGGGTTCCCCCTTGTCATTAGTGTAGGACAGAGGGTCTGGCAATGGAAATGTATAGTTGGTTGAATGGGAAGAAAAACTGAGGTCCTGTGTACACATTGGTGTGCATGTAAAAGAACCCTTGACAGTTGGAATTCGAAACCAGAGTAGGCCGTATGCCCATCTTCATTAGCCCAGTAGAACAGAAGGTTAATAAACCACTTTTCTAGTTAACCCTATACAAACTTACAGGGGGAACAATGAATGGGCTATGCCCGACTTTCCATCCAGTTGTGTACATTATATGTACATTGTGAATGTATGATATATAATTTCAGTGTGTACATTTTGAATGTTTTATATATAATTTCAGTATGTACATTATGAATGTATTATATATAATTTCAGTATGTACATTATGAATGTATTATATATAATTTCAGTATGTACATTTTGAATGTTTTATATATAATTTCAGTATGATGTACATTATGATTGTATTATATATAATTTCAGTATGATGTACATTATGATTGTATTATATATAATTTCAGTATGATGTACATTATGAATGTATTATATATAATTTCAGTATGTACATTTTGAATGTTTTATATATAATTTCAGTATGTACATTATGAATGTATCATATATAATTTCAGTATGATGTACATTATGAATGTATTATATATAATTTCAGTATGATGTACATTATGAATGTTTTATATATAATTTCAGTATGATGTACATTATGAATGTTTTACATATAATTTCAGTATGTACATTATGAGATAGATCATCCTGATAAAAAAGATGAACCAGTTAGAGAAATAGTGAAATATAAAGTACCAGAAGTTGGTAGTAATGTTTATATGTTCCCTCCTCAGGTAAAATATCAACCACTTATTTTCATAATAACTCTCTATTTTTATGTATAAAACCCAATTTGATTTTTTATCACCAACAAAACCTGTTACTAAGGTAGAACTTTGAGGAATATCATTGCTGAATGTAGAAAAACTACTAGAAACAATTGTTATACAGTGGATGTAAGATTTCTGTGTTAAGTATTAGCCACAGTGGCTCAGTGGGTAAAGAGAGAGAGAAATGGGGTTTAATGTCCACTTGACACAAACTAGGTCATTTCGGGACAAACATATGGTTCAATTTTATTTCAATAATTCGCTTGCGCAAAGTGGTCTTTTATAGTGGGAGGAAATCAGAGGACCCGGAGAAAACCCACGAGATTGGACAGGCGACCCTACTCCTTGTATGGTGGCCTTAAATCTACATCATTGTTGTGATGTATTTGTACATGAAAGAACTGTTTATGTGTCTATAAACAGTCTAGACCTAAGCTTAGATCATCTACAGATTCAAATTTACTGTATCTTCCAAAATATACCAAACTCTATGGGAAACATTTGCTATCAGATTCAGGAAATGGACCATTTGCTACCACATTCGGGAAATGGACCGTTTGCTACCAGATTCAGGAAAATGGAAAGTTCACTAGTTTTAAAACAACATTGAAAACTCATTTTTTTACCAACTAAATTGAGTACAATGTCGAAACGTTGTGATTATAAAATAAAACCAGTGATTGTTTCTCATAAAAATGATGATCTGTCAATGATTATCATAATTTACATTTACCATGGAGCTGACGTGCCATTAAACGCCATTTCATTCATTTCTTTCATTCCATTATTTGTTCTATTTACAGTGGATTCAATCAGATCTTCGTTTCTTTGATATGAGTACAATAGGTAAATGTGCTGTAGTAATGGCTGACCCACCTTGGGATATTCATATGGAGTTACCATATGGTACGATGAGTGATGATGAAATGAGACGATTAAATGTACCAGGTTTACAAGACGAGGGATTTATATTTCTATGGGTGACCGGAAGGTAGGAATATTTTATTTGTCATAAATAGGTACTGAAACTATACATAGAATTTAGAACAATTGCTTGTTTTAGAACAATTGGCTGGGTTTTCGAATTAGCTCAGTTTTAGAACAACTGGCTGGGTTTTGATAAAAAGGTTCAGAAACCTAGAACAATTTTGTTTTGATGAATACGTGTAGGTTCTAGATTAGAATATTTTGTTTTTGATAAGAAATGATATACATGTTAAACATTGTAAAACATTTACAAGGGAAATAATCAATATATTATATTTTTTTTCCTTCTCAGAGCTATGGAGTTAGGAAGAGAATGTTTAGAATTATGGGGGTAAGTTATCTTTGTTGGTCCTTTGAATTAAAATTATTTAAGAATTCAGTCCTGTGATTGGCCAAGAGATTTACTCCCAACCAATTGAATCCCTTGCAAATAAAAATATTGTGAAAGTTGAGTCTCTAAAAGTTTTGATGAACTGAACTGAAATTTTTGCAACCTTCACAGTTATCTGCTGTGCTACCTGTAAGTGTTGGGTACAATTTTTTGATAGATAATTGTATAAGATAATAGATACTTGTATTAGATGATGTAATTCTATGTATATTGAATGTAGGTATAAACATATAGATGATGTAATTCTATGTATATTTGATGTAATGTAGTTATATACATATAGATGAGTTAATTCTATGTATATTGGATGTATGTATAGCTAATTCTCTATGTATATTTGATGTAGGTATACTTAATTCTATGTATATTTGATGTAGATATAAACGTATAGTTCATGAGTTAATTCTATGTATATTTGATGTATGTATAGTTAATTCTATGTATATTTGATGTAGGTATAAACGTATAGATGAGTTGATCTGGGTTAAAACCAATCAGTTACAGCGTATAATTAGAACAGGTCGAACAGGTCATTGGTTAAACCACGGTAAAGAACATTGTCTGGTAAGTATATGGCATAAAAGTCATATAAAATTTATTTATAATAGACAGATTTACTTGTAATCTGATAGGAGAGATTTTAATCTGAAATCAGATGATGACAACCACACCCATAAAGTCTTTTGGGGAAATGGAACAAATGAAATGAAATGGAGTTTAACGTCCTACTTTTCTGCTCCGACTGGACTATTGAAGATGAGCACATGCTGCAGCCTACTATTTTTACAGAATTCACACTGTCAAGGGTTCTATTAAGTGCACACCAACATGCACACAGGACCTCAGTTTTTCATCCCAAGTTCTGCACCACTGACATGGGAAAACTAAACCGGAAAATACTGAGAAGAACTTTCTTGGCCAACACTAGGAGCGAGCCAGCATTTTACTCTCTTATCCACCGGGGCCAGGAAATTGAACAATCAGGCTGTTTAAATTTGCCCAGTTTCTAAAGAGATTTAGATATTAAACTATTGTAAACTTTATTATAGGTTGGTGTTAAAGGTGAACCAAAAGGAGCCAACAGAGGTCTAGATTGTGACATTCTTGTTGCAGAGGTAATGTAATATTTTATCTATATAATACTAATCATATTTTAGTACATGTATTTTTCTCCAGATTAAAGTGGGGGGTTGGATAGCTGAATGGTTAGCACGTGCGCGCTGTATCATAAGGCCTGTCATTGAGTCAACAGGCGTGGTTTCGAATCCCTGGTTGTACGTGACAAGGAGTAGGGTTGCCTGTCCAACCTTGTGGGTTTTATCCGGGTCCTCTGGTTTCCTCCTACTGCTAAAGACCCCAACGCGCAAGCAAATTATTGAAATAAAATTTTAAAAAATAAACCATATGTTAGTCCTGAAATGACCTAGTTTGTGTCAAGTGGAGGTTTAACCCCATCTCTCTCTCTCTCTCTCTCTCTCTCTCTCTCTCTCCAGATTAAAGTACACGCTTGACAGAGACTGATACCTAGGAGTTGCTCGATTGTCAGTCCAGAACATTATGAATTGACAGAATCACAATCGAGTGACTTGTAATTGAGTCCAGTCAGATTTCTGTCAAATCTTGGAAACAGATGCGGTTGGCATTCGATACAAGAGTAGGCCATAGCGCTGCTGTCCGGGTAAATTTTCTCTCATAGGATACTGTATGGCGTATGCCCATCTTCGTTAGCCCAGTTGGTGCAGAAAAGTAGGACGTTAAACCGCATTTCATTCAATTTCAGGTACGAGCTACAAGTCATAAACCAGATGAAATCTATGGTATTATTGAGAGGTTATCCCCTGGTACAAGAAAAGTAGAATTATTTGGTCGACCACATAATGTTCAACCTAATTGGTAGGTATTACTTTTTTATTCACCTGCCCAACCAGGTATTTTAGTTTCCTCCCACAGTTAAAGAACCCTAAAGTTGTATGTGTTAGTCCGGAAATGATCTAGTTTGTGTCGATTTTTCTCTCGCTCACTACTTATTTTAAAAATTGAACAGCTATTAAAATTAGAAGTAAAATGACAAATGAAACTTTAATTTAGACCTGGGAATATGAATGGAAAATATTCATATAGAGATGAGGATTAGCAACATATATGTGGTTTAATTATAGACAGCGAGTGTTGTTTCAATATATTACACAATATATTGCTCAACACCATTAAACAACTTAAAATACAGACACTATCCTACACATGCATTTCAATGAAATCGCCATGCGAGTTCAATATTTCATCTAGTATAAATAATATACGATTGGCACGTTGCCCGTACATTATTTGAAATAATGGTATGCCAACATCAAAGGATGTCATCACATCTGTATTTTATGTATTGTTTAATGGTCGAGAGCGAGACATTAAGTAATATATTGTAACAACAAGAGGACCGTCAGGTCCGAGTGTTTTTACAATATATTACGCAATGTCTCAGCTCGAGACCATTAAACATCTTAAAATACAGACACTCCGCACGTGCGTTTACAGTGAAATACGTCACTCGAGTCTAATATTTGACAAGGTACGATTGGCAAGTTGCCCGTACGATTATTTAAAATAATGGTACGCCAACATCAAAGGGTGACGTCACATCTGTATTTTAAACCCATCTATTACATGTTAGTCTGATTGCTACAAAAGTATAAAATGTTCAACTTCAGTTCATTTTGTAGATGTGGAGTAACTTACTTCGTGTTTAACAGTCAAATTAAATCAGATATTGTACACATAGTTTTGAAATTAAGTCTTAAATTTCAATGAAATTGTCACACAATCCAATATTTCATCTAGTATAAGTAATATTTGATTGGTATGTTGTCCGTAGTTTATTTGAAATAATAGTACCCCAACATCAAATAATGAGAGCGAGACATTAGGTAATATATTGAAACAACATGAGGGACGTATGTTCCGAGCTGTTGTTTCAATATATTACTTAATGTCTTAAGCTTGAGACCATTAAACAACTTAAAATACAGACACTTGCACATGCTTTGCAATGAAATATGTCACAAGCGTCCAAAATTTCAACTAGTACGCTTGGCACATTGCTTGTACCATTATTTGAAATAATGGTACCCCATCATCAAATAATGACATTAAATCTGTATTTAAAGGTATATAACACGTATATAATATTTGATATTCCAGGATAACATTAGGTAATCAAGTAGATGGTGTGAGACTCAAAGATCCAGATGTTGTTAAACTATTTAAAGAACGTTATCCAGACGGAAATTGTATGGAACCACCAAAGAATAGATGAGATTTAAAAAATTGTAGACAAAATTGTAAATTATGTTTTGATCAAAAAAGACTTGAGGCAGTTGATGTGATCTGAATGAAACATGGCTGAAGTTGAACTCTTTACACTCATCTTGGCTTCTCAAACTGTGGTTCAGATACTTGCACAGATTTGGTGAATCAAATAACTGACATGAAATCATTAACAAATTGCAAAATAAGTGACATAAATGCAGTCTAACAATGATTCTAGCGTCTCAAATGATTATATTATGTATGGTTTAATGGTCAAGAGCGAGACATTAAGTAATATATTGATACTGCGTTAGCCGAGTATTGTTTCAATATATTACACAATGTCTTAAGCTTGAGACCATTAAACAACTTAAAATACAGACACTATCCCAAACGTGCTTTTCAATGAAATATGTCACGCAAGTCCAATATTTTATCTAGTATAGATAATGTACGATTGGCAAGTTGCTCGTACATTATTGGAAATAATGGTACGCCAACATCAAAGGATGACGTCACATCTGTATTTTAAATATATATATAATATATAACAGTGGTGCAGCTAATTACAGTGTTGCTGATTTAAATAACTGAAATGAAATGATTATCAAATTTGAAAATAAGTGAATACGCAGCCTCTCAAGAACCATCAACTTGTATATAACACTGCCACTGGTTCAGCTAATTACAGTTTTGGTTGTTAAAATAACTGAAATGAAATGATTGACAAATTGTCGTAAGCATGACGGTTTGCTGCGATATTATTAAGAGCAGGATTACAATATACAAAACACATGTCAAACAATAAATGACAAGTGAATGGATCTGGGGGCAAAACCGTAACTGTCCACTGCGCTGTACAGTCTCAGGGCTGTAGTGATATTTCAAAATGAAAACGAACTAACGATAAGGGAACAATCCAAGAAAAAAAGGGAAATATTTCCTAAACATTGTATTTACATGGCTCAGATATTGGGAACATATATTTTTGTTGTATATATTTCATAATCATTCATACACAGTCTGTAAATAAAAGGATAAAAAAAAATTATATTAATGTGGTTTCTGTTGATGATTTATCGGTAAACTAGATATGGTATGTTTACATACTAATTGGGTGGCAATCTGAGAACATGATGAAATCCAGATAATTGGGTGACAATCTGGGAATATGATGAAATTAATATAATTGGGTGACAATCTGGGAATATGATGAAATTAATATAATTTTTTGTAAATCTAGATATGTAGTTATTCAGTGATATTTGAGTTGCGATCTGTTTACGGTTTGATAAGTTAGCTGGGTGACCTTTATTCTATGATAATTTGGTTGTATTTAAGATGAGACTTATAATTCAACAATATTTACTGGTAATGGTAATTCCACGGTGATTGGGTGGTAATCCAGATACAGTATCATTTCATCTAGCTACTGGATAATTGCAGGATAATTGGGTGGTAAAGTAGAATTGGTATAATTCAAATATAATTGGGTGGTAAAGCAGATATGGTATAATTCAGATGTAATTGGGTGGTAATCTAGATCTGATATAATTCCAGGGTAATTAGGGTAACTCAAACAATTATTTATTTTGTTTATCAGTTGCTAGCGGATGTGGGATATTTGGTTGTTGGGGAAGCGGGGACGTTAGACTGTACCACAGTATAACTTTGCTTGATAACATTGAGAGAACCCTCAACGAAACGTAGCTTTAATTAAAATAGTAATTGTGTTTTATAATAGGTTAAGACACATTATAATCCTTGTGTGGCATTTTGGGATTGAGCACCCTAAAAACACAATGACCATTTATATGGAATATAATCCCTGTTTTATTATACATGTGGTGTGACAACGATGTTTCAACAAGTCTTTCTCATCTTATCAGTAGGGGTAGGTCGAGTGGTCTAACACATGCACTTTAGATCATAAGATCTGGCAATGAGTCAAGTGGGGTAGTTTTGATCTCCCATACTTGACAATCGTGGGTCGCCTGTGTAACCTTGTGGGTATTCTCTGTATCCCCCAGCTCCTCCCACTGCTAAAGACAGTAGTGGATCTAGAAGATGTGAATATGACTGGTGGGGGGGGGGGGGTACAAATCTTGGGCGCCACCCACAATCCTACCCCATTATAATACTGCACGTCCGGGTGGAACATTGATTGTATTGGCTATATAGTTGTTCGCTGATTGTTTAATTGCCGAAAAACAGTTTTATTCAAGTTGACATAAAATTCATTGAGATTGTTATTTTTGTGGGCGCTTACTTGGTCTCTTCCCACGCCCCCTCTAAAACCGTGTCTGGATAAAGACCTATACGTGAACGCATATTATTGAAAAAAAAATTGTATCATATTATGTTATTCCCGAAATAACTTGGTTTGTGGACGCCTCTCTCTATTCTCTCTCCTCTCCCTACATGTATTTCTCACTTGTGATTCGATACGACAAGAGAGGGCTTGTCGAAACATCGCAAATGTCTAGTAATGCGTGAATTGTCAATACACGATCTATGAAAAGAAATACAATCAGGAGTATGAACAAACTATTATTCGGTAATACGATAGATATGATTTCATTGTACCGAACACCTCGTTTTACCACATAGTGTAGTGAATACAACAGAACACAATGTATAACAAACCAATCGACCAAACAGTGGAAGCTAACCTTTAATTCAACGTGCGTCCACCGAAAAGTGGTTGTTAGGGACGCGGTGATTGGTCGAAAGTGTCAAATTACCTATGAATAAGTTGACGTATAAAGATATTTTATATACCCATGTACGTATTGAATAGTGTATCTATTTAGTCTCTATAGATATCTATGTGTATATATCACAATAGGTGTATATATAGGTATTTTCAGTATACCAACAATAAATTAATTCTTACGAGTTGATATCTCGTTATAGGATTATCAGATTTAGGATTACGTGGGCCGACATTGTACAGGTAAGGAATTTAACAGATATCATAATATATATATACCGAGGTTAAAATGAATTCTGTATTTACCGTTGTAAATAAATATTTCTTACTAACTGTAAATAACTAATGTACGTGTACTTATTAAGACAGGACAGTTTTCGCAATAAAAGTTAAGTGGGGTGGTTTCGATCCCAAATTTGTACGTGACAATGAGTAGAGTCAACTTCGGTATGCTCCCATAGACCCCTACCTGCAAGTGAATTAGTGAAATAAAATTCTACCATAAATGTATGATCTCTCTCTCTCTCTCTCTCTCTCTCTCTCTCCGTTTCGTATTTATACCTGAATAACAACAATATAGACACAATCACTGATCAATGTACTTTTATTCCTGTACGATGAACTATTTTCAGATTTCCAACAGCTCTCGACTCCGGCTTAAGTGAAATGAAATGAAATGGAGTTTAACGTCCTACTGTTCTGCTCCTAACCTGGGCTAATGAAGACGGGCATACGCCATACAGTGTGCTATGAGGGAAATTTTGCCCGGACAGCGGCACTACGGCCTACTCTTATATCGAATTCCAACTGCCAAGGGATCTTTTACGTGCACGCCAATGTGTACACGGGACCTCGGTTTTTCGTCCCATCCGAACGACTAGACAGCTTTCCTTGTCAGCCCCTCCGTCCTGCATCACTGACAAGGGAGAACCACGCCGGAAAATCTGGATGAAATTTCTCGGCCAATGCAGGGATCGAACACCCGACCTCCAGGCTAGCGAGCTAGCGTCTTACCCACTTCGCCACGTGATCCCCCTCCGGCTTAAGGCTTAATATATTTCAATTTAAACTGTTTTATTTTTTAGCTTTATGGTATCAGAACAAAGTATAACGATAATGTTAATGTTAGAAAGGTGCTAGCACACTCTGCTTGGTGTACATCACACATCACCATTACGTGTATACATACTTGGAGTAATAAATCCCAGACCTATTAAGATATTGTTTTGATATACTGAACTTCTCGGTATGACAGACCCAGAACAGTTTGTAGTAGGACTTGACACTCACTTGAGATGTTTTTAAATAAATGTTTATCTAATATATTAAATGTCCATATATAAATCACCTACTTGACATTGTTTAACATTAATGGGCCTATATACACGTACACGTCTTCAATAGCCCGGTTGGTGCAGAACATCATATGCTCAAGAATGATATGATATTTAACGTCCTAATGAGGCGCTAAACTAGGTTGTCCATAAATATTTAAATGATCAAAAATAATATATTATTATACAAAACACACCGTTTTCACGAGAATAAGTTCGTCACAATGATGACAGTCTTGTAGAACATATTTTAGAATCCTTATTATTATTAAAGATAGCGGCGTGAATTCAGAATAAACTAGAGCAAACTTCAAATGGCTGCAACTTAATAAGTTTAGAATGATTTGATGTATTTTTGAGATAACTGTGATTGAGTATACCCAATAGACAGCGCCGCATAACTGCCCAACAAACACACAACACAGACAATCCGAAATATACTTTTTCAGGTTTGTTCTGGCATGTCGCCATTTTAAAGATAATTGTTTTTTTCTGCAGTATCGTATATAAATAGTTACGTTTCTAATCTCTTAATCATTATAAATAACCAATGACTTAATTTCAATAACTTACACAGGTTTATCTTTCATTGCAAAAGGGTAATAAATATATTAAATGTCGTCAGATATTTCAGACTTAATGGCACATAAAATTAAACAGCAGTCTTACCATACATCATATATCTCGTAACCTTCAAAGTCTGAACTTTAGGGGGTGGGGGATGGTTAACGCATGCGCGTTGAAGCAGGTATTTCATTGGGTCAAGTGGCATGGTTTTCGATTCCCCGCTTGTACGTGACAAGGTGTAGCGTCGCCTGTCAAACCTCATGGGTTTTCTCAAGGTCCTCCGGTTTCCTCCCACTGCTAAAGACCCCCCTACACGCAAGCGAATTATTGAAATTAAATTGAACCATATGTTAGCCCCGAAATCACCTAGTTTGTGTCAAGTGGACGTTAAACCCATATTTCTCTCTCTGTTCGTTTAATTTGTGTTTATCCATGAATATCCACGTCAAACGCGTCTTTGTTTTGCATGTAGTGTGGTCCTGCTGCACCTACTGTCTATTATGTACATTTTGGGATTTTCATCGTCTAAATTAAAAAATACATTAATTAAAGTACCAGAATAAACGCCCAATCCTACCGTAATAGTCCGGTGGCTGAAGGGGGTGGGGGGGGGAATCGCCACCCGAGCTGTGAATTTATGAGACCAACTTTTTCTAGACCAGTTTTTTGCGTAGATTCCGAATCTGGGTGGTGACCAGGCGTTTGAGGGGGCATTTTCGAGATATAGGGGGTCAAATGTCTACAATTTTTTTTTGGGGGGGAGAGGTCATTATGTTGACATAATATATTAATAAAACATAAATTTCTAGGACTGACCATCTATAAATAAGTGTTTACGATGGCCCTGGACAACTATTTTGATTTATGGGAAGGTGGGTTGGGGGTAGCAGGTGTGGGCGTGTGGAAGGGTGGGGTGGGGATAAAATTGGTGGGGAAATGAGTTCACGTTGATTTAAATGATGATTTTCTAAGAGCTTGATGAAACATCTCTTAATATGTTTATAGGATTCCTATTATATGGGGGTGACGCCGGGGTGAGTGCCCGCCTTGGGAGGGGGGTATGGGGGGCGTTGCGGGTGATGGCGGGTGGCAACATGTGTTTTTGTGGACAGAACTCATTTTGTTCATAATTGAGTTTAAGTGGTATCTCGTTAGCGTTTTCGTTCAAAATATTAAATTATAATGGTACTTTTCAAGAGATCTGGAAATGTAAATCAAAAACACATTAACTCAGAGATATGTTTAGTTGTTAGTTTATTCTTAGTCTTCATCAGAAGATTCAAAATCAAAAGTTCATATGAGCGAGACAAATATTTTCTTGGTTGCTGGCCAACAGCTCGCATATCCAAAGGATATGCTTCAGGAACCAATTCACATTGTAAATTTTCATTCCAGTCATGAAGCAAAAGACCACGTATACGGCAAGGTGGTAATAAAGAAAGGTCTGTTATTTTTCACCCAGAAAATCTTTTTTCTAGCGTCATCTAGTGATGTAAGTCGTCTTTCGCGATATTTTTCTACCTTTGCCCCCGTCTCATTATCGATCAAAATTTGTATATTTGGATCATCGTTTGCGAAGAGAATGATTGGGATGTCTATTTCGCCAGAGCAAGAATGCAAAATACAATTTGTTTCAGCACCTCCATTAATTTGCAATGCGAAAAGGAGTAGGTAAGATATTTTGGTATCAGTTCTAGGATATTCTCGACACTTTCAATACTAATCTTGATATTTTTTGATCCAATCAAGATTAGTACTGAAAATGTCGAGAATATCTCGGCCTACGGTACATGCTTTCAGTGGTAATGACTATCTGTCTTTCTTTTTCAAGATAATCCCAACTTTCTAACAATTTTTAAAGAGCTGGGATAGACAAATGATGCTTCTGATGACGTAATTGCTGGTTTAGAAAAAATTGTTTGTAGATGACACTAGAAGAAAGATCTTCTGGAGAAATTTTAATTGTGATGAAATAAAACAAAACTTTCTTTATTACCATCTTGCCCGAGTAGTTTTTTGCTGCACATTAAACGCAATAATTACGTTGCAGCAATATGGAGACAGGTTGCAAAATTAATGATCGAACAAGATGAATGGGTATCTGAAGCATATCCAAAGGATATACGCAGGCTGTTGATCAGCCATCAAGAGGATATCTATCCCGCACACATTATAAGAATAAACTAATATCTAAACATGTGTTTTTTATGTAAATTTCCAGATCTTTCGAAAAGTACCATTATAATTTAATATTTTGAATGACAATATTGGCACTGAACGAAAACTCGAGAAAACACTTTTCAGGTCAATTTTGAACCAAGTGGTTTCTGTCCCCCAAAATACATTTACCCTCCCCTATACAACGGTAATCGTATACACATATTTAGAGATGTGCAGTGGAATTCAAAATAATGTTTTTACCAAGCTCTAAGAAAATCATCAACGTGAACTCACTTCCCGCCAATTGTACCCCCCCCCCCCATCCATACACGCACACCTGCTACCCCCACTCCCCACAAATCAAAATAGCTGTCCAGGGGCATCATGAGCACTTATTTAAAAATGGGCAGCCCTAGAAATTTATGTTTTATTAATATATTATGTCAACATAATGACCCCCCCCCCCACACCACCACCACACAAACACCTACCTGCTGTCCCCACCCCACCTCCCCACAAATCAAAACAGTTGTCCAGGAGCATCATAAACACTTATTTATAGATGGGCAGTCTTAGAAATTTATGTTTTATTAATATATTACGTCAACATAATGACCTCCCCCCCCCCCCCATTGTAGACATTTGACCCCCTATATCTAGAAAACGCCCCCTCAAACGCCTGATCACCACCCAGATTCGGAATCTAGAAAAACTTGGTCTCATAAATTCACAGCTCGGGTGGCGATTCCCCCCCTTCAGCCACCGGACTATAACGTATGCCCATCTGAGTTTTAAAATTTCTTGTAATCGTGTGTCGAGATTTCTATCCCTGTTAAATGGTTAGATCTAATTATTAAGGCCACCTACAGATTTGGTCAAAGATCACGAGATGTAAACAGGGCTAGCGCTAACCCAAACCCTAACCCCTACCCTAACCACGACCCACAATCTAGCCACAATCACGTGCCCTAACCCTATTTACATTTTTAAATCGACTAAAGTACCGTCATTGATTTTATTCGCGTTTTGTCCTTCTGTTGCATTGAGTCTATAAATTGATTCTATACATTGTTAACGCTGAACTATCCTTTCCCCATTTAAATAACACATTCTCAATGTTCTTTAAACGTGATAAACTGATCTATTCAAATTTTTATTATAGAATCATTGAATCAAATATTCCTGTGTTTTTCTACGGTATTTTATATTATTTCCTCCTCTAGGTCACCTTGGTCAGAAGTCTGCGAGGGAATTACTATATAATTCCTATAAATTATATGCTTAGACACGAATCAATTCTCTTACGACAAGACTATCATTACATAATATCAGGCCACAACAATATAAGAGAGAGAGAGAGAGAGAGAGAGAGAGAGAGTTTAACATCCACTCGACACAAACTAGGTCATTTCGGGACTAACATATGGTTCAATTTTATTTCCATAATTCGCTTGAGGGCAGGGGTCTTTAGCAGTGGGCGGAAACCGGAGGACCCAGAAAACCCACGAGGTTGGACAGGCGACTCTACTCTTTACAATATAATATCAAATGGTGTTGGGGTGATCTAGGGTGTCGCGTTTCGAGCTATTAAGCTGGTCGGCCACCTCTGGCTTTCGGTCGTGGTTTCGATCCGTGACGTGCTAAGTATAATAAAATGACTACTTCTCTGCGATATCACCCTCGGTGGAAGCGGACGTCAAACACTATGAACAAAAACAATATAATATCACACTATTCGTAACGGTTAGGGCATACAGAAATAGAGGTGTGGACAAATGCTTAGCCTTTCCGTCTACCCGTCCACAACTTCTTGTTAACGCCCCAAAAGTTAGTACGATCATCAAATGAAATGAAATTAACTGAGATGGGGTTTAACGTCTTCATTAGCCCAGTCGGTGCGGAAAAGTTGGACTTTTAACCCTCATTTAATTTCCTCTTAATGAAGACGGACATAAGCCATGCAGGGTTCTATGGGGACAGCCGACAGGGCACTACTGTCCAGTATTATTTCGAATTCCAACTGCCAAGGGTTCTTTTATCTGCACGCCAACGTGTACACGGGACCTAGGTTTTCGTTCCATCCAAACGACTATATAGACGACTACATATTGAAAACCTCGTCTTTCGTCACATTTTTGAGTATAATAATTCGCTTGCGCGTAGGGGTTTTAGCAGTGGGAGGAAACCGGAGGACTCGGAGAAAACCCACGAGACAACCCTACTCCTTGTCACGTACAACCGGGGATTCGAAACCCCGCCAGTTAACTCAATGGCAGGCCTCATGATACAGCGCGCACGTGCTAACCATTCGGCCATCCAACCTCCCATGACACGTGGAAGTATAAATTGGGTGATATAATAAAATAGTTATATCAGAGAAATAATTTGAATTGGCCTAATACAGTTATAAGTAAGAAGCAAAGTGATCGAGCTATAATCAATAGAATCAAGCTGGATTAAGTCACACGGCTAACTGACTCAATCTGATAGTGTGTGTGTTATATATTGATCTCAACATTAACAGATTGTATTCTTATTGATTACCCACATGCTCAGTTACATTCTACCTGTCATCACAAATACAGGTGGGTATATATACCAATATACGTCGGCAAATTTAAATTCTTGTGTTAAGTTCGAATGTGTGGACATTTAAAAATGGAACTCAGAAGAATCAACAGCCAGAAAATGGAATACAACTCATATTTCCTTCAATGGTTATATTTGATAGTGTTTATTTCGAGACTGGTAGCTTGAACTAATAGAATTATTTATTTAATCAACTTGTTTTGTTTTGACAAGTTTGGTTTGCTGGGCTGTATTCATTGTTCTGTGATGTTGTTTAGATTGAAAACTAACAGCTTGGTTCATTATCTGTGTTACATCTATGGTTGTGTTGAACATTAAGGAAATGAAATGAAATGGTGTTTAACGTCCTACTTTTCGGCACCGAGTGTGCTAATGAAGAAGTGTGCTATAAGGGAAATATTACCCGGAAAGCGGCGCCACGGCCTTCTCATATTTCGAATTCCATCTGCCACGGGTTCTTTTACGAGCACACCAGCGTATACACGGGACCTCTGTTTTTAGAAGAACAACTGCTAAGTTATTTTGGCGACGTTTCAAAGAGTATTGTTTCAAGATGTTCAACGTCAAAATGAAACGTTGGGAGAGAGAATGCCCTTGGAAACGTCGACCAAATATATTGCAATCGTTTCGTTCATCTTTTAGTTTTTGTTATAGTTGCTTAATTTTTCAATCCAATTACTAAATGTATTTAAGGATTATTTAGAAATGGGGGGAATTTTGCTCGGGCAGCGGCACTACAGCCTATTCTTATATCGAATTTCAACTGCCAATGGATCTTTAACGTGCATGCCAGTGTGTATATGGACCTCGGTTTTTCTTCCCATCCGAATAACTATACGCTGTCACTTGTCAGACCCTCTGTCCTGCACCACTGACAAGGGGAAACCACGCCGGAAAATCCCAATGAATGCAGGGATCGATCACGAACCTCCAGGTTAGCGAACTTACGTCTTACTCACTGAGCCGTTGTGGTCCCCAGGATTATTTAGGATGTACCGTAGAAAAATTGTTTAGCTGGCTTTAACGTTGTGCTATTTTGTTTTTCAGATACGTGTAAATACATAATGGTTAGAGATAAGAGGAGAATTTAATAAATATTTAATTAGACATGGCGGAAAAGAACAGATGTGTATTGAGTTACATCAGTGCTAATTCCGATAATTGGATTAATGGAATATAAACGTTAATATCTTCGTGTTCAGAAGCTGAAAAAATGCAGTTTACGCTGTTTGTGATTCTTCCAACCAATAATGACGTATGTACTTTGCGTAATGTTCAACATGGAATCTCCATACGGGAAGTTCGCGGTCGTCTGGAACTTGAAGCCGGTCTTCCAGCGCAAATTTACCGCCTGCATAATTCAGACGGACAATACATGCACGAAGAACACTGTCTTCTGTTGGATCATAACGTCTGGGATGGCTTCGTTTTACGGACTCAACTTTTTGAGAGTTGGACGGAATTGTATACAAATGTTCTGGCTAATAGAGTTGACCTGGTTATTAAAACCGGTGCCGTTAGATGTAGTCACAATATGGCGAAAGATCAAGATGAACGACGTCAAGTTGAAACTATAATTAAAGAAAGAGGATCGGTAGCTCTGTATATCGCTGCCTTTCATGATCTTTATGAGATGTGTGTTACACTTCTTAAAATTGGTAAGTATAGGCGTATAGACACAATAGACGTCAAAAGTTGCAGCATAGAAATGTATCGGCTTCCTATTGTGCAAGAGCAAAGTACGTCCATCGCGCTCTCTGATAATCATTATTACGATGGGAGAAGGTTTTACTTTAAAAAAAACGACATCGAGAAAAATCCAAAAAACATTGGTTTATTTTTATTTATTTTTTGCGATTGTCAGTAATTATGTAATATACAGCTACGTTGTAAACACCCAAAGTGAAGCCAGTCCCTAATGCTACCTTGAACCACGAGACTCAACCACACACATCTTCGCAAGATCAAACGTTCGTTAACAGATGCAATACATCCCAATCTGAAAGTGGGGAATTTTTTTTTAGTGGGAAAAAATTCTTTATTTTACTTGAATTGAAACTGTCTTGAATTTTACAAAATTGGATAATTTATGATAAATTTGATTTTTAGATAAAAGAAAAGCACAATTTAATCAGAAAACCTAGTTTATATAAAGATTCTACACATAAATAAATCTTGCGTAGACTACATGATAAAAAATACTATTGTACTATGTCATTCACAATAATAAACTTGTGAATCCATGCATCAAGTATCACAATAATACCCAATAACAAAGTTATTTATTATATAGATCAGTTAGGCATAAAGAACTTTATAATTAAAAATATCTACTCTGTGTGAACTTTTAACAGGGTATCGGATCGAATACTAATACAGTCTGTCTTCTTTGATTTAGTAGTTACTATAGACATGGTGTGAATATAGCCGTTGGGATTAGGTGGGATCGAAACGACTAACTTCTGTCAAAGCTTAATAACATATTTTCTATGATTTTGTAACTTTATACCCTTATAGATATACAACTTACAACATGCCCGGATTAATAGTGGGAATAATATAATTATAGGACTTGGACCAGTATCAAATAATTAAACCATTGTTCTGGTCAAGTATCAAAAGAATGTTATTGATCGTAATATATGATTTTTCGGACACCAAAAATAAGCTAATAAAAAACACGTTTTTCAGGCAGTATTCTGAAACTTTTCGGTCTTCAGTCATCGAAAAATTCGAGCAAACATTTTATATAGTCGTTCCTAAACTAAATCTCAATCAAATTTGTATAATATCAATGACCCAAAGCGGACACCAAAACATAATTTTGGGATGTATGTAAGATATCGGGGTAGATTTGAACCAAACCTGAGCTACAACATATAGTTGACACTGGATGCGCATTATGATTATGAAGTAGTGAATATCAGAATGGGAACATGAAAAGTTCTTGTCAAAACCTTCAGCAGGCGGGGCTCAAAAACTCAAGTGGGCGGGGGGGGGGGGTGCGACACAGAAACTTTGAATCCATGACGCAAAGCGCGTCATTGAGCCCTCTACACTTAGCAACCTGCATTATTAAACAAAAGTTGTCCTCGAAAGCCACTCGTAAGTTATATTTATAGCACGGCTTTCATGAGTTAACAGGTTTAACCAGAGGCCGAAGGCCGAGGGGTTAAACCTGTTAACGAATGAAGCGTGCTATAAATGACTTGTAACATTGACAACTGCTCAACATGCTTATTGTTATTGCATAGAAAACCCACCCCACTTCCCTATATGATTTTTACTAAAACTAGTGTAAACCAGCAAAAGTGTGCAATAACATTGAACATATCTAGTTATTGCACGGTTAAGCTCCAACCAATCTACTAGAGGGGGGACAATCTGCTTATTCAACGAAAAGAACAAAGCAAGATTTCCCATCCATGTTACAAAATTAAATATTTAACAGTAGGCCTATAGTAATTTTCATAATTAGGTAATTCGATCGTTATTTCAGACAGGGTCATATATTATTATTTTTTAAACTCTGGCAACTTGAAAATCATTTTTATATGCTCACATTTTATGTTAGATACTATTGTCACCTCTGTTTTCTTTTATAAACACTCTACAGGCCAGAGGTTTAGATTTTGTTTCAAACTTGCGTGATGACAGGAGGAATGTATTGAAATTCAGAGTCGGGCAACTATTTTTCGCATAGTTACTCCCTCACTCACAGAAACGTTGCTAACGCTCAAAAAATCAATGTTTTTGTTTTGTTTTTTTGGATTTCCCCAATAACTTTAATGTTAATTCACGTCTCTTAGACCGGCTCTAACCTTTTCCCAAATTTTCGTTGGGTAGAACGCTTTCTGCTACAGGCGGAGCAACATGTGGCAAAATCTTGCCGAAAAGCATGTATGAGGTTCACCATGAAAAACTTGAGATACACAAGCTGGAAGTAAGAGCCAAGAAAACATGCAATTTTAGGCCCTAGTACATTTCAATCTAACCAACCTCTCAATGTATCCTTCCGCCTCAAAATCATGAATATTCACCAAAACCTGGCAGAAAATGTATTTTCAACCCCTTTTCTTCCATTCTACAACAGAAAGTCAACAAAAATCGCCATGCAAAAGGGGGAAAAAGGGAAAGGGAGAGAAAGACTAAAAATAACTTTGGCCCTTGTTTGTGCATAGTTATTCCCCTGGGAAACCTCAAAACCGCCATTGGAAGTGCTGTTATTGGCAGTATATCCCTTGTCGGGTCACCATATTTTTATTTAGGAAATCAAATATATTGTATCTCAAATGTGAAAGTAATTTTGTTTCGTTATATTTTCAGGTGTAAGTCCTAATGGTCGGACCCCTTTCGGTAGATCATCACTGCATGCTGCTGCCAGTAAAGACAACGACGCCATCTTGGATCTGTTAGTACAAGCTAGAGCTGACCTTGATCTTAAAGATGCCGGGGGAGAAACTGCTCTGTTGCTGGCTAGAAGAGCTTCAGCTAAGCTCTGTTCTAGGAAACTCAGATTATATAATTTAGACAAGAATGGATTAAGACCCATAAATGGCATGGTTAAAAATATCAAAGTTAATATGCCAAATGATCAAAAGTTTCAAAATAAGAATGATAAAAACGAAGCTACCCCAGTGCACCTGCCTAAACCACCGACGAACAGGCGGGAAGGCCTTGAAAAGGGCGGGAAAGTACGCGATACTAGACAGGGTGAACTTTCTGGTCGTTCTAGTTCTCAATGTTTTGTGTGGGATATCGAAGACGATGCTAGAAAACAGTCGACTTCTCAATTACGCGTTCAGACGGCAGTGAACACAAAACGAAATGCCGTTAGATGGAAAGATGCGCCATCTTTAATTGAAATTCGAAGACATCCACCAAACTTAAGAGGCAAATCAGCAACTTATCCCAACACAATTCTTAAAAATACCACATACACTGACAATACCGAAAAAAGGAACAATCTTATTCGAACATTAAGTCGTGAATCGTTAGAGTCGAATTCTTCTACGATTAAATCCGAGGCGGCACCGAGTCAGCCTGACAGTGAAATGACGTTAATGTCAGCCCCTGGTGATGGTCGGCAACTTAATAATTTTGATGCCAGAAGTGTAGAAAGTGCTCCAGCTATGACGTCAGCTGAACCAACTAAAGTCAGTTCATTGAAAGGTTCGCGAGAAAAAGGCAGGTTGGTATAGTTTGTTTTTGTGTTTATGTTTTTGTTTAAACGAACAGAATAACGACATATGCATATGTGGGGGGGGGGGGGGGTCGGTAGCCGAAAGGTTAACGCGTGCGCGTTGCATCACACACAAGGGCTGTCATTGAGTAAAGTGGCGTGGCTTCGATTAGATTTCCCGCTTGTACGTGACAAGGAGTATGGTTGCCTGTCCACCCTCGTGGATTTTGTCCAGGGTCGCCGGTTTCCTCCCACTGCTGAAGACCCCTACACAACCTAGTTTGTGTCGAATTGACGGTAAACCCCATTTCTCCCCTCTCTCTCTCTCTCTCTCTCTCTCGCTCTCTCTTTACGTGGCGGGAGACAAGTTTTTACAACGTAACCATATAGTGGGGGACATTAAATTAAATAAACTGGTGAGATTTAGGTGGCCAAGAGGATGACTGAGTGTTCTGGACTTCATGGAATGGGGTGGGGGCAAGGGGCAAAGTCACAAAGTCATGAATAATCATCGCGTCGCCGAGCGCACACTGTCGCATACACAGATAAAACCACAATTTGAAAGTAATAGGTCCTAGATCTCGTAATCCGAAGAGTCTTGGTAGTTTGTCTTTATCCCCAAGAGTCTGTAAATCAGTAAATTAAACACGTCTTATATTTATTCTCATTACAGTGTTCGGTTGCTTCCATTTCGACGAAAACAAAATGAAGGACCAGCTTCGAGAGCTAAACGACAAATCAGAATAGCAGAAAACCAAAAACATAAATACCAACCCAAAGAAAACTCAGAGAGTTTCGATGAATGGTTGGAAAAGAAAAGACTTCAAGAGTGTCGGGAAAGATTACGTAGTCGATCAGATGAAGGTTCTCAAGGAAGCGATTCAGAAGATGGGAAATCAACAGCTTATGATGATTGGTTGAGGAAACGTGGTCACCGGAAGTTGAATGAACAACGCGAGATGACCGTGGAAGAACTGTACAGATGGAATGATCGGCCATTACGCGGTGTGGTCATGATCGGCCAGTCACAGGTAGAAGACAAAGACACTGTTTCACAGACACCAGAAACAAACTTGCGTGTTTATCAAAACTGGAAACAGAAGCGACCCAAACCAAGGCAGCGACCTGTAGATACAGAAACACAAAAGAAAGAACTGGAGAAAAAAAGGCAACAACTTCTGGCGGCAGCTGTGACGTTCGATGATTGGTTGGACCACACGGAAGAGAAGAAGCTATTGATGAAACAAATCCTCAAAGCTAACATGAAGGAACTGGAGAAAATTGAAGAAGAAAACATCAAAAAACGTTCACCAAGACAGATAAGTTTTCAGAAATGGAATGCCCAGGCTCAGAAGCGGGAAATGGCGGATAGGAAGAAAATGGAGGAAGAGCGAATGTTTCAGGAAGCGCTTAGAGCTGAGCAGATGCGCAGTAGTGCTTGTGTTACTCATGCTCTTTGGTTACAGAAGAAAAGAGAAGAAGTTAAATTAAAACAAACTGTAAATAAAAACGACACGACAACAAAACAACGAGTGCAAAATAAACCTTTAAATGGTACAACGAAATTAGAAGATATAACTAAAGGGAGAGAACTTCTACAACTTTTAAGAGATAAAAGGCGAGGCTCGGCAGTGGCAAGCTAATCAATTATTTTGTAATATTATTTCCAAAGTGTTTCATTGTCAGTGATATGATTACTTTTCTGAGATTCAAAGATGTGTTTCTCTTCGTCGCAGTGAGTTAACTATGTTGACGATCAAAACCATGTTGTCCCAAATTAAATTTATATATTCAATAATTAGTCGACTTTTATGAGAAAACTTTTTTCGGGGAGAAGTTAATAAAATATTACTGATAATTTGCTTTGTGCAGATTGAAGCGTGAGAACATGTATTGATTTTTAAAAGGTGTGATATTTACGGTAGTCACAAGTCTTCAACTTGAAATGACAGCTCCACGCCTTACAGGTTGCATTTACTGCATTCAAACTCTAAAGCAATAATTCCCAACGTGGAGCCAATTTGAAAATGACGTATTCAGAACAAACTTTTCAGGGTAGGGTTTTCTCCCGGAAATCCCGGACAACTTTTCACTGTTTCGGGATTCCAGCATGAGGGGCCAGATTTTTCTCGCATACAGTTAGTTGCGTCACTTGCGTGTCAGTCAGCGCATTTTCTCATTTTCTCTAATGCCAAATGGTAGCCCAGAGGAGCCTCGCTGTGATGAGTTTGTTTGGGTGTCATATGGACATGGTATAGATAAAAGTCGACAATCTCTACTGAACACCGAATGAACTTGAAGGTTATCATCATTGGACACCGAATTGTTTCATTATGATATACGAACTCTCCAGAATATTTGGGATTTTTGAAAATAAAGATAAAATGAAGTAAAGCGAGACCATGTGGTAAAATCCGAAAACTCGCCACACACACACACACCCCCACCCACCCACACACACACACACATGACAGGCTGAAGCTTAGGGCCGCAGAATCTTGGTCGTCTCCGGGCAAGGTGAATAACATTTTTGACGTGCACTGTAGTCTTAAACATCCGTCATCATGCTCGGATGGAAGATGGTGGGCTGGGGTGGGGGCTCATAAATGACATACATGTATACTAGGGGTTGTCTTCATCTAAATCCGGCACTAAATGGAGACTGTTTCGGAAGACGGAGGGGGAAAATTGGGAAGACCATTGCGGAACTAATGTAGTGGGTGAAGATACCGGGACACTCGGAGGCAATACCACGTGATTATGCATATGATCGTGCCTCGAGCTTGTCATATACAAACGCGGAGTCGAACTCATTACTTGCATAGGTAACAGGCCTTTTGTTCTACTATTCAGATCGAACATCAAAGATTGTTTGACATCATGCATTAAAATTGTCTTTTGTGTGAAAGAAGACTATGCATTGATTGACCACGAGCACATGATTTATTATAACAATAAATCAGCTAAGTTACCACTACAGCAGACCTTTGACTCTGGTGGGCTGCCTCTAAAATATTAAAAGATAACATATACAACATATTTATTTCATCTTTTTTGTCCCAAATTTGACAAAGCTTAACAACACAATCGCTATTAGGTCTACACGGCCTTCGTACCTTCGAATTTCCAAATGGTATTCTTTATTATGTAAAATATTTTACTATTATTTTACCATCAGTAGTCCCGAACCACCAGGTGTCCTCGTCGCCGCCAATACAACACACATTCTTTAACCCAGAGAATCGAGAATACATGATTTCTCTCCCCTTGCCGTCCGCTGCCAATTCATGTATTGCCCCATTCCCGCCATCAACAACAAGCACGTCAGACCATCTGTCAATACAAACATCTAATGGTAGAAAATCTTGATACTTGATAGAATATTTAGTTTGAATAGCACCGTCAAAATCAAATACCAGGACTGATTTCAAAGTTGTATCGACAATAGCAATGTTTTGATTGTCATCGACCGCCATCTTGGTAGGATTTTTCAAAGACTTCAACGAACAAAGCCGCGTGGTTTCTATTGGCCTAACGTTCGTATTCGTGACGTATTGACAAACATGGTCTCGTGACAAGTAAAACATTGATGTTGAATTGGATGCTATTAACACAGGAAGTGAAGCTGCCACCAAATATTCCAGATCTGTTTCGTCTTCGTTTAATTTAAGGAATGCATCTTTCGTAAGCACGTGGAGACTTTTGTCCAGCAAAGCAAAGCACTTCACTATTTGGTCACAAGTTAACATTTTTAATATTTCACCCTTCGAATTGAACAAAGTGACCGAAGATTTGTCCACGGAAGAAATATGAGCACCAACCCATGCCAGATTATTTCCAATGGGACAGACGGCATCAACTGTTTCTTCTAAGGAACCTGAATCAAAATAATCTGCAGCACCATAAGATAACCTCATGCGAAGGGTCGGATAGGTTGTTATCCTACCGAACAGATTTTGAATTGAGGCTTCTATTGGTTGTTCCACTTCAAACTCAGTACTTTCTACGTCCACGCTTGGACAAATATAGTTTTCCGTTTTCTGGATTTTATCTTTGATAAGGTCACATGTCTCAAGGACACCCACATCGCTTGAAGATGTTGCTACAGACGTTACAAACCCAGACATGGTATTCATCTGTAATTCTCTATCTTTGATGTCCTTTTCGGTCTCTTCAATCTTTAGTAGTTGCTCATCTCTGAAAGATGTTGCCTCGTGCAGCTTGTGGTTTCTGGCCTGATATACAGCTGTACATATTTCCTCGGCTTGTTTTTTGATGGTCGAGCACGTTTCGTCGCAACTCTTCTGAACCAAGCGTTTCCTGTAAGCCAAAGCCTCTAATTCACATCGCAGATCACGTACATGCCCGTTTAATGTCTCCGACATGCGTTTTAAGTTGGAGCGTCCATCAATTGTTACATCTTCAACATGTTCGGTTGCGTGACCGTCGTGTTGAGCTACTTTGCAATGAACACACATGCCCTTACAGCAACTTCTGCAGTAGAAGTGCAGTTCTTCGTTGTGCTCTTCACAATTCCTCTGAACAATCAGCTTGTGTGGAGATAGCTTCAGCTTCAATACTTCATGGTTCTTAGTGGCTCGCATGGACGAATGGACGGAATAGCAACTTACACACATCTTCTGTTCGCAGTCCTTACACGTATACGCAGCATCGTTTTTACTATCACAAATTTCACAGATCCCTAAACAGACATCATTAGCTTGATCCAAATGCTGCTCCACGTCTGCGATGACATAGTAATTAGTCATGAAGTCTTTCGCGATATTCTTTGGCACAAAAATCTGCTTTTTACACGATGGACAACCGAAGTATTCATTTTTTGTGTTTTTTCCAATAAAATCGTATAGGCAGCTTTCGCAGAAGGTGTGGAAGCATGGCAACAACCTTGGAGCTGCATACACGTTAGAACACAGGGAACAATGGAACCGGGTCGACATTATATTCTTGTATGTTTTATACATATATTCGGCTATGAATTCTTGTATTCCACTGTGTTCATTGATATCCAGCTATCCCAGTAATTAGAACTTGCTTATCGAACTTGGTTGAGATTAATAAAGCGGTCCAGAAGAAGCTGCAGTCTGATCTGAGAACAACATAAGCCTTATTTATACCAAATTCTGTCGGTAGATGTACTCCGTGGCTGTTGGTCGGGTAGTTTAAAACAATCTTTCATGAATCCAAGGAAGACGATCGGTTAATTCATCTAAATTGTACAGTTGATCTGTTTAATACTTCTAGTTGATCTTTATGTCTTTCTGTTGTTGTCCGTTGTCAAACGGTCCACAATAATATATACACAAATCGTAGGGTGCACTATTTACAGTTCATGAGATCACTCCACATATTGTCCAGGACATTAATTCTTGCCTCGACAAGACTTAGTCTTGAGAGTCCCTGCTTTAAAGTCACGTCTTGGTCATAAATCTTCAAGGATATACATAGTGGTGTAAATTGAGGATTCCAAATTAACCTTGTTATAGATATTAATAACTGAAGCTAAAGAAATAAACTAAAAATCACAGATAATAAAAAAAATCTAAACTGTTTTACAACACACATATATTATTAATCCATGTATGTTTAGTTAAGCCCGGGCTTGTTTAATTGTTGGATATCACAAAGACCCACAAGATCTATAGTAACAATTGCATGCCTTATTGACACTTAGTTATAATAAACGATTTATATATTAGCATATGACCTAGTGGTATACGAATTTGTGTGTACCCAGTTACTGATAATTGTTCATGTTTATTGTATAGGAATGGTTTTACGTTGTCAATGGTTATATACAATCAATTCAATGCGGGTTTTTCTTGCTGTTCGTTCACTCTTCGATGCTCATGATTACTAACTGGCGCGTCGGACCAATATGCTCCTCTGACCAATATATTCAACCACTCTGACTGTTATAGGGGGTAGCACGATTTACCAAAATTTCCACATTATTTCAACTCGTATCATAATAATTTATATCGGTATTGGATAATATACCGTTCCTTATGCTAAATTGTCATTTTTAATTTACGGTCGTAACGTTTTTGTGTCAAAATTCCCCTTAAAATGCAATTTCCAAGCAGATTTATAAGTTGTAACCAAACCACCATTATTTTAACTCGTATCACAATAATACATGTCGATATGAGATATTATTATTATACGAGTTGAAATAATGGTGGATTTTGGTACATTTGTCTGGATTTGGGGAAATCGTGCTAGCTACTGTGTTATTGGTGCTTAGCGTTTTTGCTTACTGGTGCATCCCACTGATACCATTCATTGAATTCCGCTCCAGTAGCCTATTAAAAATATTACTGAACAGATAGAGATATTCACAAATGACTTAAGGCTGTTTAATCGCAAATTCCCATGGAATACGAATACTCATAATTAGATTCATGTAAGATTGTTTAAAGCCATAGGAAGAACAACCACGGAATTTGGTAGAATGAGCTTTAATTGTTGCGAATTGTGTTCTTCTACTAGAAGGACGCCAATGCCTTATTAAAAATAAAACTCAAAAATTGTCATGCTTCTGTGCCAATCTGTTTCACAGACGTATTGTAAACGCAATAATATCGGCTTGGCGAACAGTCACTGCTGATCAGTTTGCTTCTGTGCTGAACCGCTTTATTGACATCAGTCAGATTCGATAAGCATTGCGTCCTTTGGGATGCTTAACGTATTGGTTTCAGTTAATGAGGGAGCAAATTTGATCATTTTAGACTTTTCCTCAAACCCTTAAATAAAAATTTGCACAGATGGTGCTTATACTGGCTTAATTGATGACATTGGTTCACGTTGGACCCATTTGCATCATGGATCGTATATAATTCAGTACAGTTCTATGTTTGCATGGTTGAATGGCTTTTTTATTTACATTGACAGCATAATGTATTTCAGCTACATTCGATAAGTTTGTTGCTTATTTTAGTCACTGAAAGACAGACAATGTAGTGATGTTTTCTCACCGTAACAAAACAAATCAACTTACAGAATTACATAGCAGAAGAAAATGTCGCTAAATGGAGTTGCTCCCCTTCAATAACATATTTAAGGACTATTTTAGATGAATGAATGAAATCGGGGGCCGTGGGTTAATGTCCCACTTTTCTGCACCGACTGGGTCAATTTTAATCGGTTGCTATTTCAATTATTGTACAGCAATAGAAATGAGGTTGAGAGGATTTCCCTTATCCACATTAGTTCGCAATTTGCAGGATTTCAGAACATTGTTTCCCTAAAAAGTTTTAATTTGCAATAGTTACTGCTGGTTCCGCTCAGTATATGGTTCTACTAAAGAAGGTCCCACAACAAAGTTGTCAGTCCTCGCCCCCTCACCCAACATGGGTTTTATAAGAGAGAGTATTGGTTCAACCATCTTCAGACAGGGAGTGTGGGAGTATTTTTTGACAAATATTGATTCTCCATGGTTGGTTTTCTGTCTAAAGAGAACTCCAAGAGAATGTGATGATTCATGCCTAACAAAATGGAATTCTACCCAGAAAGTAGGATTCAGTTCAGCAAGGTTTTGTGTTGATACCAGAACACACAAACTAATCCTGGTCTCAGTCAGCCAAAAAATGACACAATACTAGATCTTCGCCAATCTGGAATATATCTTTCTAGGGTTAGGGTTAGGTTTACAATTTACATGTCAAACGTACAAATTGAAGCTGTAAAAATGGTGGATTGTGGGTAAAACTATTCTGAAGGGTTAGGGTTAGGGTTAGATATTTTCCAGAACGACCGAGATCCAGTATCGTGCCAAGAAATGTGGTCTCTCTGTTAGCCAAGCCTAAATCAGCGTTGGTCCCAATCAGCTGCATACTGTTGTAATTTTAAGGCAATTGATATCTGTTGCTAGTACAACAGTGGGCTTAGTTTATGGTTTTTTTTGTGTGTTTGGGGGATGGAGAGAGAGAGAGAAATGGGGTTTAAGTCCACTCGACACAACTAGGTCATTTCGGGACTAACATATGGTTTAATTTTATTTCAATAATTCGCTTGCCCATAGGGTCTTTAGCAGTGGGCGGAAACCGGAGGACCCGGAGAAAACCCACGAGGTTGGACAGGCGACCCTACTCCTTGTCACGTACAACCGGGGATTCAAAACCACACCAGTCGACTCAATTCAGTCATCCAACCCCCCGTTTGGGGGATGGCGTAAGGAAGAACACTTCAGACTATAATATTTAAGTTATAAAATGTTTATTATATACAATTTCATGTATTTTATATTAAAGAAACCTGGGCCCTTATTCACGAATACTTAAACTAAGATACAATCGAAATTTTAAGAAATACTGCAATTCTATTGGCTGACCAATATGCAAATTGGATATATGCAAATTGATTTTACTGGTCAGCCAATCGAATTGCAGTATTTCTTAAAATTTCAATTGTATCTTAGTTTAAGTTTTCGTGAATAAGGGCCCTGGAGAGAAAAGAAAAATAATTTTCACCATAAATTCATAAAATAACATAACAGACATCAAGAACAGCTGAATTTAACTCAATAATAACAACCAAAGCTCAATTCAATCAACATTATCAGGCTTTATTTGAAGAAAATAAATGTTATTTCTTAATGTAATAACATCAAGATTAAGAAGCATGAAAACGCAAACTTATACAGTAAGATTAACCCAGGCTATTCTATATACCACACCTACACTTATTTGATTTGTGATATTTTTTTTGTAATGATAAAAATTGCAAAAAAAAAGAAGAAAAATTCTGCACAAACAGAGCTATTCTACCACATCTGCTACGCCTATTTGACACAATATTTTTTAATGATAAAAAGTGGAAATAAAATGGGGCTTAACCTTTTAGTTTTCTCCACCAACAGGACTATTTTACCACATCTACAATTATTTAACATTTTTTCTTTTTAATGATAAAAATGATAAAAATGAAATGGGGTTTAACATAATGTTTCTGCATGAACACGGCTATTCAGCCATACTTAGACTTATTTGACCTATAATTGTTAATGATAAAAATCAGAGATGAAATGCTAACCATTCGACCATCCCCCCACATCCCCCACCTGTCACAGACAATGTTATGCACAAATTCTGGCATAATTCTTCAGGTGTCTATCATATTGTCTGGCATAAAATTCAAAATATAAGGTGCTACTACTAGTTCATTATCGCCTGACATTTTGTCCGGTACAACTAGAATCATTATTTCCAGGTCTGTCTGTTCCCTATATAAACTTCTCATATAAATAATAGAAGTGACATCAGATGTTCAATTTACTATAATCCATGGAAGAAAAATTTAAAATTAAAAGAGAACAAAAAAGAAAATAAATGCACAATGTAAATAAAGACTCATTGGGTTTAAAGGATATCAACAAATGATAAATAAATATCTATATATTTTGTAGGTAAAATGTCATGGATGAAAATCTAATATGCTTTGTATTTTCTCACAATCCTCACCATTTGGGGTTTTATTTTTTGGGGGAGGTAATTCAATAAATATTGTTCGTTGAAATAATTTTTCATATTAGAGACACCGAAAACTCTCCATTTGTCGTAGTGTTTTCACACTCAAAAGTTAAATAAGATTTAAAGCTGCTGAAAGTAATTTGCATTAATTATTTTTTTTACGGCTTAATCGTCGCTGATATGTACTCAAATTGATTATTTAATATTTAATTTAGGAAAATCAAAACCAAAATATCAAACGATAGATAATTTTCTGGCTTCAAGTCAATCGAATAGAAAAGAGGCCTATCAAAAACATTTAATCTAACACTTAAAGGTATTGTTGACTTGTTTATATTATCTGCAAGGGTTGCAAAATTTTACGAAATTTTCAATTAAATTTTTAAATACTGAACAGAATTAAATCATTTTGGACTGAGATTCAAGATTCACAATATTGTAGTTTGCGTGGGATTCAGAACCCTTAAAGGCTCAATACCACTCTTGTTGTAACTGAAAAATATGTCCCAATCTTTATTCTGGTCAACAAATTGTACTATTTTAGAATATTTCAATTAATTGATGATACAAATTTCATCTTAACACACCTTATTTAAAATTTTTTAAAAATTCAACATAATGGTTTGAAACGTCAAACGTAAACCTTTTCAAATGAAACTTCGATTTAAAAATATTTCTGAACCCTCTGGACAAGTAAAATAGGATTTAATGGATAATTTACACAACAGGTAGGACACTTAAACATCCAGTACTTATATAGAGATATTATTTATTTTCTGGAGCTTTCAAGCCAGCAAGAGTGTTATTGTCCCTTTAAATAATAGTCAGAGGAGGCTTTATGTTAGAATCAAGTACGAGAGATCATAAATTTGTAATGATACACATTACAGCTGAAACTATGAAGCACTACACAGTATTTAATAGAAACAACTATTCACCACCCATCAAAATGATAAAGATGCAGTATCCTATATAAGTTTAATATACACAATATGGACAATATATAGTATTTTTATATATAATCTTAGACTTCTAAAAAATAATACCTGTTTTTACAGTTACCTGCTTTCCACAAAATAGGGTTGATTGGAAAATCTTATATGATCTAGGTAATGAGTAAATAAAATGAAATGGGGTTTAACATCCTACTGTTCTACTCTGACTAGGCTAATGAAAATGGACATGATATTGATACGTCATACAGTGTGCTATGAGGGAAATTTTGACCTGATAGTGGCACTAACGCCTACTATTATATCAAATTCCGACTGCCAACGGATCCTTTACGTGCACACCAATGTGGGTAAATATAAGAGCAGAGGGTTGGCGTTTTTTGCTAAAAAAAAATGATCAGGTAACCATCAACACAGGTATTTTTTTTTGTGCGGCCTTATCATTGAACTAGTTAATACATAGACAATACTCTTATTTTATTTTATATACAAAAAAAAAACCAACAACATTTATTTGGTTCAAAAATAAATTATGGAAATATATACCAAAGTTGCTTGAGCTGTGTATTACACAAATTCAAGCAAAAAGCATGCACATGCATTTACACAAACATACACAACTACTGTGCATTTTCACAACATGCAAGGCCAGCTGAGTATAACATATACACACATAAACATAATTATTTTTTAAAAATGTTTATAAATGAGCAATTAGAGAAAGGGGTGTGGATCTAATCAGAAAGTATCTTAATATAATTAACATATATGAATAAATTATAATACATACCACTAACAGCTAGTAATATATTTGTGTGATATATCGAAGAGTATTCTCTTAACATTATCAAACTTATTCTCTCAACATTATCAAGCTCAACATTATCGAAGAGTATTCTCTTAACATTATCAAGCTTACTTTCAATGTTATCAAGATTAATCTCTCAACGTTATCAAACTTAATCTCTCAACATTATCAAGCTTAGTCTCTCAATGTTATCAAGCTTAGTCTCTCAATGTTATCAAGCTTAGTCTCAACATTATCAAGCTTAGTCTCAACATTATCAAGCTTAGTCTCTCAACATTATCAAGCTTAGTCTCTCAATGTTATCAAGCTTAGTCTCTCAATGTTATCAAGCTTACTTTCAATGTTATCAAGCTTAGTCTCTCAATGTTATCAAGCTTAATCTCTCAATGTTATCAAGCTTAGTCTCTCAATGTTATCAAGCTTAAGTCTCTCAACATTATCAAGCTTACTTTCAATGTTATCAAGCTTAGTCTCTCAATGTTATCAAGCTTAATCTCTCAATGTTATCAAGCTTAGTCTCTCAATGTTATCAAGCTTAGTCTCAACATTATCAAGCTTACTTTCAACGTTATCAAGCTAATACTAATTGAGTGAATCCTCTAACATCGCCAAAATATATATGTAATTGTTATTTTAATATGGTATGTGTTATAGTTTCTCTATTTAGTTACTACATGTAAATGCCTACAAAAGATTATTAAGAGATGTGGTTTGTGAAGTTTACGGTTATACCTAACGGATATAAAAAATGGCTAGGATTAATTGAAAATGTATACATTAAACAGACAGTTTCGTAAATTTATATGCACTAGGGTCCAATTTCATGATGACATCGCAACCATCTTGGAATTACGACATATCAAAAATCAATGTGGAATTTTCCAAGGAACAAGCATGCCTAGTGTCATGTTTATCGTTCTTGAATCAGCCAAGTGTTTTTGAAGCACGTCACCCTCACGAAGAACCACAACAAGATGAGAATATCTTGGGGCCATGTTCCTAGTGCAAAATTCAATCCTACTTCAGTTCAGATGCTGTTGAGGGATTGAACCCAGATTACAAAGTAAGTGAGCAGTTGCTGCTGAAGTTAATCGGTGTAGGTTTAAATGAACTTTAAATCAATACGAACTAGAGCTAAACAGATTGCTCAAAAGTGGCCATTATGTAAGATTAGATAAAGAGCTGACAGTTCTCGGTATAATAGTTAAAACATAGATAATGAAAAGGGAATATGTTGAAAATTTCAGTCAAATTGTTTCAATGTGTATGGTCACTACAATGTGTAGCTTCGATTGTCATTGCTACCGCTGTTTCGATAATAAACAAAGTCTTGATTATCCATTTTTATGGTCATGCCAAGTAATTAATGTCTAATTAATAATTTTAAGGCATAAAGAAAGACCTGCAGTATGCAGATTTAACTCTTGCATAATGCATGTTTAACCATTTCATTACATTTGGGTTTGGTCACCAGCTCATTGCAAACTGCCCAAACTGTCTGCGGAACCCCCTCACCAGGCCTATGATGCACCAAGATTATCAACGATCACAGTAATCATGAGACCACAATTACCAAAGGGAACTGTTATTTCGTGGGATTTTGATCCTGGTTTTTGGGTCATCAGACACTACGGGTCCAATTTAAATATTAGAATAACCAATAGTAGAAATAGGCTCAGTAAGCTGGTAACCATGGTGATTAGCAAGCGGTAACCATAGTGACACGTAACACAAGGACTAACAATAAGTGTTAATTATTGAGCTTTTTCTGATCCTCAAACAAACACAGAATACATATATTGGAATGTTTAGTTTTATTCTGAATTAAAGTAAAAGTTAGTTTCTGAAAAAATGTTGGATTTGTAGCGATGTTTATTTTCACAGACTAAATAAACCTAGTATAGGATAATTTAAAATTTCTTAATGGATTCCGTTTGAACAAAACCTTTAGCTAGTTCATTTTACTTGTAAGACTTACACAGAAACTTTTAGAATTAAGATGGGCAAAAATACCTAATCTTTTTTTTTTTTAGAGAAGTCTAAATAGAAAAGCTAATAAATGTTTTTTCTACTTGTTTTTTTTTTTTTTTTCCTAATATCAACCACCATTTCTCCCCAAACCAATATTTTCCCAGAAACTAACTAAACTTGTGTTTCGTTTTTGGTTTATGCGGAAAATTTCAAATTTACTGAACTATTCAATATGAATAATCCGGTAATTAAACACGTAAAATATCAATTAAAATTTAACAAAACTTGATCAATTAAAAGACATAATTAACAAATGAATAAATATATCAAATATTTGTCAGATTCCAATTTGCTATGTTCAATTTTATCATTCAAAGGACATCATTAGAAATGAACACACTATATTTTGACATAGTAATATTGCATGTTGAAGGAGATGGATTCTATGGGCCCAGCATCATAAAACTCGAGATAAAAGTCAAATTTCAATAAATATCAATTCAAGGTGAAAATAAATATCAATTCAAGATAAATACCAATTCCATGATAGGGGTAAATATCAATTCAAGATAAAGACATATCAATTCAAGATAAATATCAATCCAACTTAAAGATAAATATTTATTGAAGATAGATATCAACTCAAGATAGAGATATATATCAATTCAAGGCAAAGATACATATCAATCCTAGATAAATATCAATTTAAGATAAAGATAAATTTATATCAATTTAAGATAAAGATAAATATCAATTCAAGATAAAGATAAATATCAATTCAAGGTAAAGATAAATATCAATTCAGATTTGAGCCAGGCCTGAAAGTTTTTAATTTGCATGCTAGTTTCTATAACAGAAAAATTGAAGATCACAACTTTTGTACCCCATTTAACCAGATATTCTGACTATTATGCATTGTTTTATTACACCACATATTATTACATTCTGAACACTTAATCACAATTTATGTTTTTTTTACAAGAAACCTTTTTAGCAGTACAATTAGAGAAAAATAAGCAGCATTAGATATGACTATACCCCTTTAAATCAACCAGATTTGGTATGATCAAATTGACACCATTTTTACTTCTCATTTGAAATATTAAACTGATATTAATCTAACATTTGTATTTTTTACTGATGTATCTGAAAGTTCTACACAGTTTTTATTAATCTAACATTTGTTTTTAATAATGTCAAAAATATACTGAATTCCAAATAATAATCTTGTATAGAATGTCACATGTCATTAAGAATCAGGATATTACGATCCACTTGGTATTATTATATCTCTTTTTTACCAATATTTCAATTATTATACACGGTATTAACATAAAAACAGAGTTTTTCACAAAAAAGTGATTCATTGATAAAAGAAGTGATTATCTTAATCTAATAGATACAGTATTCATCTGATAAAATACATACAAAACCACATACCATCTTTTTTATCTCAATACATGAACTTGAGTAATTCATGCTCTTCCTTTCAACTCCCACAGTTAAATCTCATACCTCACATATCATAAGTTCATGTTTTATCTTATATGTTTTTTGTCTGTCACACTACATGCTTTTCCTTTCAACTTCCACCATTAAATCTCATATCTCTGGTAATCTTGAATTGGTCATCAGAACTGGTCTTGACTTATTATTATTGACTTATTATTATTGACTTGTAATATCCAGATGTTGTATATCGATGAAAACTTCTCGGAATAAGATTTAATTAGATAATATTTATGCTCTAGACAAACATATAACTATCCTGCATACTGAACTTTTACTCAATTTAAAAATACCTCATACACCATAAATAATTAATAAATTTTAACGTACATCATTACATTTTAAGAAGAAACGAAAGATATTTTAACTGTTCAAAAATAAATTCTTAACTAACTGAAAGTAAATTTACAAGAAAATATAACTTTCATTTGATTTAATCTATTCCCTGTTAATAATATCTGGAGAAATTTATAACCATCTTTTGATAAATTTATATCACATTGAAATTATGATTAATATAATCATTGTAGTAGTCAAGTGGCATGTAAACACAGCCCCCTCCCCCTCACCAGATTCAAAAATAAATTTATCTATCAATTTAGGTTTCAATGGTCTTCTTTTGTACACATACTATTACATCAATAATCCTTGTACACAGTGCTATAAATGGCATTCACACATAATGAACTATATCAGATCTATCTGTTGACCTCTACGTTGCAGTATATATACATATAGACTTTTCACAGCACCATGGTTACCCCTCTACATTCAAGTTTATAGTTCAGACGTTTTCACAGCACCATGGTGGTTACTCCTCTACATTCAAGTTTATAGTTCAGATGTTTTCACAGCACCATGGTTACTCCTCTACATTCAAGTTTATAGTTCAGATGTTTTCACAGCACCATGGTTACTCCTCTACATTCAAGTTTATAGTTCAGATGTTTTCACAGCACCATGGTTACTCATAAACGAAATCATCAACAAGTTAACAAACGAATCAATTCCCTAAAGTCTCTATCTACACAAATCCCTCCTCTCTTCTCTTCCATCATCGCTTATCGAGATTATTTTTTTGTAACCTTTTATGAAATGATCCACTAAATTCAAAGGCCTGCATCCAAATAGTCGTATAACACATAAAATAAATCACTAAAACGCTCAAAAATAAGATTAATATTGTCTTATTTTTACACATTTTTGAATTGCTGAATTTGCCATGTGGACGTCGGATGCCGAATCCAATGGCTAATATGATTATGGCTGCCGTTGCTATGATAAACATACTACTTCCTTTAGACAGAAACTACAAAGAAAAGAGAACAAATAGGATTAACATAAGAGATTTAAAGACCAAAAAGCAGTAGCATGGCTAGATGGGGATGGAGTGGAGGTTCTCCTCAGTTGACAATTTAAAAAAAAAAAAAATTTTAGGGGGAGGGGGGAATGGAGTAGCATGGCTAGATGGGGATGGAGGGGAGGTTCTCCTCAGTTGACAATTTAAAAAAAAAAAAAAATTTTATGCCTTAAAAAAATAGTTATTTTTCTGTCGTGACTGTGAAAGGATACAAAATGCCGAACACAAATTCAAGAACCACAACAGACTACACAAGCTATGCAACTATACAAGGTTCTTAATCACCAATTGATTAAAAGGTACAGTGAAGGACCCACCAAAACGAGTAAACGGTATGAAGGACCAAAAAGAAAAGAAACTGGCTTAACAGTTATATATAAATGTCGGTCTTTTTGCGATTAATCTCTTATATTTAGTGTATTATTACAGTAAAATGTTTTAGAAACACAAAAAACAATGACTGTCATAAATAAGCAAATTTCTTTTTTAAAAAAAGAAGTCTTGTGGGTGTAATTAAGGTTGTTAAAATCTTAATCCACAATAAATTTTACTTAAATTGGTTATTTAACATTTAATCAAGAAAACAAAATCAAACCAGCAGCTGCCATGCAAGATATGCCCACATTTTGCAAGATATGGATAGAGAACAAGCTAGCACAGATCAATTTGGGGCCATAAACCAGGAAGTTATGGTCTGAAATATGCAAATATCGAAAGGAACAGTCGGGGCAGTTTCGTCTCAACTTTCATTATGATGTAATGGTGATATATTTAAATGGTTTTTAAAATCAGATAAAGATAAGTTGCCAGGTAAAATAATAAAAAAAAAAAATTTGTATTCATTAATTTTGCTGAGGTGTATAAATGAATAAATTATTATTATTACAATCCCCATTTAAAATCCCATACCAAAAAGGCAGCAACAAATATCAAAATGGCAGAAAGAAGACAAAGGCAATGAAGACAAATTGAAAATAAAAGACCCTGAATAAGTTGGAATGAGACAGAAAAGAAATAGCAGAAGACCTTAAACCTATTTAATTTCATTTCAATACATGAATTACCTTAAACATATCTGTAAATGATTTCTAAATAAATAGGAAAAAGGATAAGGATAAAAAGGATGAAATTGAATTAAAAGTATAAACAGTGCTTTTTTAGTATTATCTTTTAAAGTTATAAGTTGTACTGATATTATTTGGCAAATGAATTGTAAATGGTTGGTCACTCCTGACTTAAGGTACCAGTGTCTTTGAGGATCACCTGAATTCTGATACGTCTTCACATTGAAGTAGGTATTTATTTATATCTATATATTGTTTGGTGTATAAGGGCAGCTAAAGCTGGGAAGGGAGATGGGCTTGGTGGTCATACTAAACTTACGTTGTCTGTCCTCAACTAGCTCCGCTTGAAAACATACACTAAGCCAGTTGACCGACATTTTAAATCCATATTCAACAATTTTAGTTGAAAACACTAAGTATATTTCGATAATTTTGAGAATTATATATTCGGCTCTCATTTAGTAAACTTGACAAGGTTTAATTAGTCTTTTTGTTTATAACAGATGTTAACTGAAGGAGGACCGCATTACAAAACAGTATACTATTTGTTGATATGGCAATTATTTAGAGCAGAGATCTAATTTCGAAGTAGAGTAGATAGTTGTATATGTGCACAATGGCTTGGTGGTGTTGTACTACCACTTCCAGTTTCAGAGCCTATGTACTACTTCCTGTTTTCAAGAAACTCCTATATAAGGAAACATTGCAATTTGATTACAATATAGATTTATATCTCGTTTTAGTTTTTTATACTTTCGATGGCCTCCACTACTCTAAGATTTGACCGGTTGTAGTGGGAGATCATGTCAGGGGTCATATGAGTGGCTTTTAACTCTAAATGATGTTAGTCAATTGATTAACCAATCAGCGTTGTTGTTTCAAGTGGGTATTTGAAATACAACTTTTGCTTTGTCTTCACTGCGAACTGGCTAATCCTTCACATCAACCAGAATGAGGGTTATATAACAACTATTCAAGATCCTAGTGTAGTGAAGACCAATAAAACAGAATTTCGAACTATAAAAAACAAAACCAAATAGGGGTAGAGAGAGAGAAATGGGGTTTAACATCCACTCGACACAAACTAGGTCATTTCGGGACTAACATATGGTTTAATTTTATTTCAATAATTCGCTTGCGTGTAGGTTTCTTTAGCAGTGGGAGGACCCGGAGAACCCGGAGAAAACCCACAAGTTTGGACAGACGACCCCACTCCTAGTCACGTACAACGACGCCAGTTGACTCAATGACAGACCTTATGATACAGCACGTACGTGCTAACCATTCGGCCATCCAACCCCCAAACCAAATAGAATCTGTGTTTTAATCAGACTGGAAGCATTGCACGACTTTTCTATCAGGTAAATATCCTGTGAAGAATATTAATACTTACGCTATTACACTCAGATAAAGCTGGACCTCTTTGAGTTAGACGAAGTTGTATATCTTCAAACTGAAGTATATTTTTACCACTGTTGAAACATCGTCCACCCTCACAGTTAGTATTGTTTGATTTATTTCTTCGTGATGGACCACGATGTAAACAATAATCGGGTCCACTGATCTGACCTACACTTAATCCACGTCTAAAAAAAGGGACGAAAAAGAAAGAAAAACTTTCAAATATTGTTTCATGATCTGTAATAAACAATCTGAAATAATTTCAGTAATCTATTTCGGTCATTTGCTGAGACAGTTGGAAACTGAAACAAAATAAGGCTGTAGCATTGCTGTCCAGGCCTGGGAACCATGGTGGCCAAGTGGGAAAGACACTCGGTCGCTAACCTGGAGGATGCATGTTTGCTCCATGCATTGGCTGAAAAAGTTAATTGGGATTTTCCGACATGGTTTCCCCTCGTCAGTGGGGCATGATGGAGGGCCTGACAAGGATAGCTGTGTAGTAATTTGGATGGTACGAAAAACTGAGGTCCCTTGTATACATTGGTGAGTACGTAAAAGATCCATTCATTAGCCCAATTGGAGCAAAACAGTAGGACGTTAACCCCATTTCATTTCATTTTTGATATCCAGGCCAAATTTTGATCATACACAATTATAGGGCGTATATATGTAAGTTGAAATTAGCTCAGATGGTACAGAAAAGCAAACTGTTAACCCCATTTAAACAATTGAACAATTGTAATGCACTAGGCAGGGTATTACATACATTACTTATATGAGTGCCAAGATAAATCCCGCCAGTTCCCTTACCACATGTTCAGCATGGCACACTTTTATATAAGGACACTTTTAAAGGCAATATTTTGAAACAGAATGTGGTTTGTCTCTTCGCCACCGTACTTTGATCATTTGAGACGAACATAATTGTACTTTTGTTTCTATGGTTACGTGAGAGAGAATTTTGAACGGATAGCAATATTTTCTGCCAACATGGCCTCGTTTTACAACTGTCTGGGTTTCTTTTACGGGCACTGCCATGTGTACACTGGTGGAACCTGTTTTATTTTTGTTCCATCCAAACAACTAGACAGATGCTGCAGTCAACACTAACAAATCAAGGTTTGGCTTACAAATTCAAAAGACCATAAGGAAAATAAGAAGCCTAAAAATATTTTTGAATAAGTCCTTACTTTAACATACGACAGCGGTGTTCTTGCAGACGAACAGACGCTGAATCCAAATCTCGAACATCTTTGTGACTCCACAGTCTTTCTGCTGTAGCTGAGGCTCGGGGCCATAATGTTGTCATATAATTTTCATTATCTACATATTCTGACCATAAACAGGCTTCTCCTCCTAAAACTTTCTTTTCATCCACAGTCATTCCTGTAATACAAATATATTTAATGAATTTCCTTGTTATAAATTATATTAACTGGACAGAAATGAAATGGGGTTTAATGTCCTACTGTTCTCCTCCAACTGGGCTAATGAAGACGTGCATACACCATACAGTGTGCTATGGGGGACAGCGGAACTATGACCTACTCTTATATCAAATTCCAATTGCCAAGGGTTCTTTTACATGTATGCCAATGTGGATATGCAACCTTGGTTTTTTTGTCCCATCTGAACAACTATAGGAAAATCCAGATGAACTTTCTTGGTAACCACTGGGATGGAACACGAACGAGGATTAAAGTCTTGTCAACAATATTTCAGTAATTTTAATAAGATAAATTTCATTGGTTATGTAATGAAAGCAGAAGATATTGCAGCTCAAACAGCAGCAATTCTGTCTACTCTTATTGTAATTCCAACTGCCAAAGGTTCTTTCATGTGCATGCCAATTTGAGCACAAAAGGGGCTTGAAAATCCTCAAGGTCCTTCTCACCCCAAGCTGGGATTCCAACCCAGTACATTCTAAATCTATAGGCCAGTTCCCTACCCCTCAACCATAGGCCAGTTCCCTATCCCTCAACCATAGGCCAGTTCCCTACCCCTCAACCATAGGCCAGTTTCCAATCCCTCAACCATAGGCCAGTTCTCTACCCCTCAACCATAGGCCAGTTTCCAATCCCTCAACCATAGGCCAGTTTCCAATCCCTCAACCATAGTCCAGTTCTCTACCCCTCAACCATAGGCCAGTTCTCTACCCCTCAACCATAGGCCAGTTCTCTACCCCTCAACCATAGGCCAGTTCCCTATCCCTCAACCATAGGCCAGTTTCCAATCCTTCAACCATAGGCCAGTTCCCTACCCCTCAACCATAGGCCAGTTTCCAATCCTTCAACCATAGGCCAGTTTCCAATCCCTCAACCATAGGCCAGTTCCCTACCCCTCAACCATAGGCCAGTTTCCTACCCCTCAACCATAGGCCAGTTTCCAATCCCTCAACCATAGTCCAGTTCTCTACCCCTCAACCATAGGCTAGTTCCCTATCCCTCAACCATAGGCCAGTTCCCCACCCCTCAACCATAGGTCAGTTCCCTACACCTCAAACAAAGGCCAGTTCCCTACCCCTCACATTTATTCACATGACAGGCCCAAATTCAACTTTCTAGACCATCAGTTGGCTTGGATATTGAATGGATTAGACCATCAGCATGATATAATCGACTATTATTAAAATGAATGTCTCTCAATAAAAGGACTGACAATTGTTTCAATGGCATTTAGTAATTGAGCTGGAATAATACATGTCTATGTCATATTGGATGTTGTCATTAGCATTACCCTTATCAATTATATTACTTTAATTAAGTTAGGTTTCCTTCAAGGTAATTAAAAGGGTGTATTACGATATCTGTATGAGTATAGAAACGTAGCATGTTAATAAAATTCAGAAGTAGTATATCCATATAAGTGTGTTAATTATAGACTATGTTTATTTAAATACATCAAAGGGAATTTAATTCATAACCTATACACATAATAAATTTTAATCTCACCAAGTCTTAAACCTTTTGAACTGAAATTCCTTTATCTGTCTGTGTTATTAACAAAACAAAACCGTAGATCAAAACACAGCGAGTGCAAACAACAAAATATCAAAAGGATGTATCTTAAATTAGTAGACTTGCTCTTCTTGTTTAACAAGAAATTTTCTATGAATCAAAATACAGATAGAGCAAAGAAAATACCGTCAAAATATGAGTCAAAAGTCATTAGACTTCCTGTTTAGATGACATTTAATGACAAAAGTCTTTTGTATAAAGCAAATAATAAAATGACGATGGTTGATCAATTTCACTGTTTTATACCGAAGTTATTTCTCTAAGATTAAAATGTAATCAATAAATACAGACAGTGAATAATAACTAGATTCGGGAGAGGTGATTGGTCTTAAATGACATTTTAAATATCAAAGTTCTTCAGACATAGGACATTATAAGACAATATAAGACAATGTCGATATCTTTATAAGATTCAGAACATCGCACAAGACTGAACTAGAATACATAGTAAGAATCATTAAGTACACTCTTTAGAATTTGTACATCTTATTTTTTAAATCTAACAAACTGAATGTTTATTCCACATCTTAATCAATTATACATATTTTAGGATGTAAGTGCCTGACAATTTCCAGCTTATTGCAATGGTGATTTCAAAACACTACGTTATTGAAAGGAAGAACCTTATTGACCTTCAACAATTTTCAATAACTTCCAGAATTATTCCCCGGTGTTATAAAAATTTTGGTTAGTAAATTATTAGAGGTTTCGACTGTGATATATTTCAGAAATTTGTACGAGTTACACTGTCAGAAATTTGATAGTTCAGGAATTATATATATACTCCCAGGAGAAAACCCACTCATTGTCACAACCAAGCAGAGAATTGAAACCACGCCACTTGACTCAATGACAAAACCTGAAATCTAATGCGCACTGCACCAAAAACCTTAATGCTAAAAGGACACCCAAAATGACATTAAGTTGGAAAAAACCCCAGTTCCCTCTAAGGGATTAATAACACATTTTAAAATAAGTCCATATGAGTGTTCCCTCTCTATTAAGCATAACGTACTGACATTGTACAATAAAAGCATACCTGAATGATTCCCCGCCCGCCCCATACCCCCCCCCCCTTCACCCCCACCCACAAATGACAGGCAGAAACAATACCTATAGTTCCCTCCAGGTTCAAGCATGGGGGACTAATAAAAAAATTTCAAAATAAGTCCATGAGCGTCGTTTCCCTCTCTACTACATATACCATACTAGCACTGTACAATATTCCCCACCCCTACCCACAAATAACAGGCAGAGACAAAACCTATACCGTAGTTCCCTCAAGTTTCATGGGTGAGGGACTAACAATAAAAGCATAACTGAATGAACCATACAATAAAAGCATTCCAGTCTACCACCAAAGGAAATAAATTCTAATTTCAAGAGGTAATTGCACTGATAGTGATAATCAATATGACTTAAGAATCAATCAATTCTGTTTTAAAAGAAATTGGATACAATAAATATTGTAATGAAATTCTACTTAAGTGAGAAAAAATAATCATTCAAAGCATCACTTGACAGGATGCTGTTTTTATTTAGTTCAGCAAAAAAAAAAAAGTATTTGATACACTATAAACCTCAGAATGCCTCGTTCGGCATTTTTGTCCGAACATGTTAACATTTTTGCCACGTTGTAACGTGGTAAAAACAAAATGCCACGTTTGTCTAGAGTTCCAAAACGTATTTCTTTTTTTTTTTAAATTGCCATGTTTTTGGGACGAGGTTTTTTGTCCAGAACGAGGCTGTTTACAAGGTTACATGATTTTTCAAAAGGGTTTGGGGTGGGGTTCAGCCAAACCAAAGTCTCGTCGAGCGTATCAAGGACAGCATGCTATTATTTGGTGACACTTTCAAGCGATTATGTAGAGAAAAAAAAAACACATGGCAAAGTCTTGACTAGAAATGACATTCGTTGCATAAAAGAGTTTGTTACATTCTTTGTTGCAGTTTCATATGTCCACACAATATTTCCAACAATGAGATGTGAGAAATGAAAAAACAGCCAAGTTCGAAGTGGAGCAAACTCAACAATTGTATTTTTAGGTCTGTGAACATTATTAATTACACATTACAATGGAATAAAACTAACGATATCATAGCTGATATCATAGTTGACAGACCAACTGCCCATCCCCGCCCGAGCCTGTCCTTAATGAGTATGAATAAAAGAACTGACTGTAAGCATTATCTGCTAAAGCACAGAAGTGATTGTCACATATCACTGTGCATTCTGATTAAAATACAGATCTATATTTTGTTTCATTTTTTTATACTTTCGATTGCCTACACTACAGGAAGATCTGACAAGTTGTACTCGAGGGTCGTGTCAGGGGTCGTACAAGTGGCTTTTGACCCTATGATGTCAGACTTTGATTAATCAATCTGCGTTGGCGTTTCTAGTGGTTTACCCACAGTTCCGTGCATGGCATGCCAAGAAGTTGCCATAACAGACTGTTTCATTGGCTTATCCCTCACTTCAACTAAACCGCCGGTAATACAACAACTCTTCCAGATCCTAGTGTAGTAAAGACAAGTAAAACAAAATTTTGAACTATAAAAGATGAAACGAAATAGAATCTATATTTTAATCAGATTGATCACTGTAGGATATAGCTGACAGAGAGACTGCCCTGACCCCCCCCCCCCCCTCCTTGATGAGTTAAAAACAAAAGAACTGACCGTAAGAATTATCAGCTGGGTCACACTGGTAATATTTTGGCCATTTGGTACCATATTCAACGTGATCTAAATACCAACATGTAGAATAGAGAACGTTATAACCCAGATTTATAGCTCGATTTATATCAACAGAATCACCCATCCAGATCTGTATTAACGTATCATTGGGTAACTGAAAATAAACAACAATAATAGAATCAACAACAGAATCATCACATACAAGTGTAGGATCAAAACCTCTACACCTTACTCAATGGCGGACCTTATCATCTGTGGTGTAAGGACATCATCTAGTCACTTGGATGGAACAAAAAACTGAGGCCCACTGTACACATTGGTGTGCAAGTAAAAGAACCCTTGACAGTTGGAATTTGATATAAGAGTAGGCCAAACATTAGTAGAACCAGCCACCCTATACAGACAAAAAACTGAGGCTCCAAAGAATCTTTGATAGTTGGAATTCGATATAAGAGTAGGCCAAACATTAGACCACCCAACCACCCTATACAGATCGAAGAATTTTACCTGTAGATTATTATTCATTACTTCCTGCCACATAACAAATTTCACACCATTTTCCCTCTTTTTACCGATATCTCGTAAATCTTTCATCAACCTGAAAAATATTTAGTGAAATTATGATTTGACTAAATTTTCTGCCAGTTGCATGTTATTGATGATGTCATGGTGGATCGGGTGAGCATGGTCTTTGCACACTAAACAGGAGTTCCCTTGTTTTCAACCCGGGGTTGACAAAGAAAGATCTCACATCACTGTTTATGCATCTAGTCGTTTTAGATGTTATGAAAAACCTAGTTGAAACCAGTGTACCCGTTCACGTAAAATCACCCTTGACAGGAGAGAGAGAGAGTGTTTAACGTCCACTCGATACAAACTAGTTCAGTTTGGGACTAACATATGGTTCAATAACTTGCTTGCGCATAGGGGTCTTTAGCAGTGGGAGGAAACGGGAAGACTTGGAGAGAACCCACAAGGTTTGACAGGCGACCCTACTCCTCGTCACATTGAAATGGGGAATCGAAACAACGCCAATTGACTCAATGACAGACCTTGTGATTTCACATACACACGCGTTTAACCACTGGACCACCCAATCCCCTTGATAGTTAGAATTTGATAAAGAGTACGCAGATACGCCATTGTCTGGGGGTAAAACTGATTGATGTGGAAGAGTAGCATGTTAAACCCCATTTCAGGATAAGGATTTAACATCCATAGAATGAATGAATGAAATATTGTTTAATGGCACGTCAGCTCCAACCGGGCTATATTGTGCCAAACATATGGTGATGCTACGAGACAAACTAGAAACAAAATCACAATATTATATATATATATATATATATATCTATACTAATATTTGTGAAGTTTGTCTGTCTGTTCGGGGTTGGCGGCTACACTGTCTGTTCGGGGTTGGCGGCTACACTAGGTCTGCCCAGAGTCTGAAATTTGGGGTATATGGTTAGCGTGGACCGGGAAGTAACGTAGGCCAGGTGGCATTAGTCCCGAGCGAAGCCGGGCATTCTTCTAGTATATACATAAATAAAACCAAATATCACAGTAAATATCAAATAATAAATATATATCACAAACATTATGTATATATATTTAAAATATGAAAGAGACAATCAGGATATATACAATTAAAATTTAACATCCATAGAACACGATCTACTTCATGTGGTATACATGTATTTTTTTTATTTCAATATTTCATAGCTAAGAAATATTATTTAATATCTTACCTTGTTTCATAATATTCATAAACTTTTCTAACATCAAATGATCCTGGACTATAAAAACCCTGTTGATTATCATTGAAATTATTATTGTTATTATAATTATTGTTGTTATTTTGTCTTCCTTCCTTCTTGGCTAATTCTAATCCAAATTTGGTTACTTCTGGATTAGATGACCTGAAATACATACAAGTTATTTGACTTCATTGCTTTGAATGTGCCTTGTGTATCAGCACATCAGAGGGCCATAAGGTCAGATGAAAGGTTAAAGGTCAGGTCAAAAGGTCATGATACTTAAATATACTCCTATATTTATTTCGTTATGAGAGTTGGCTATAGCCACACTGTTCGGACAAAATTTCCCTCATAGCACACTGTAAGGCGCATATCTGTCTTTATTACTATCATTCATAATCACTGGCCCCCACTATCTTTTCATTTACCTTTACTAGAATTGGATGGTACCCATAATTTGAGATATTGACTTACCAACATTGTAATGGTACCTCATCACCTCCAAGATGGAGATAGGAATCTTGAAAAACTTCCAATATTTCATCAAATAAATTTTTAAGGAACGTATAAGTGGAATTTTTGGTTGGATCAATTGGTCCAAAATATCCTTTTACAGGACTGTTGCCTTGGTAACACTGGGTCAGTAGGTCAGGTCGACTTAAACCCCAAGCATATGTATGACCTGGAATAGAGAAAGTCATTTCCGGGTAATAAAATAGAAAAGGTTTAATCTTACATGCATTTCACAGAAACCTTGCCCCTTAACTACATGAAAGGTCTTAAGAACTAAAGCTCACTTGCAAGACCTCTTATGCACCCAACCTATAGGACTTGAATAGAACATTCTGCCAAGTTATACAGGATTTAGTATATTACTATCTAGGCAACTTGAAGGTAGTTCTAGATACAAGTTTGTATATTAGAATTTATCATGGTAGTTCATCTTATCTACAGGCACCATCAATTATCAGGTGGAATAATTCCTGGTACCAAAATCCAACATTCACTTTTGCCTTTACCATAATACAAACCAAGAACTTTTAAGGCTCACCGGAAAAGCTTCATAATTTTTTTTAAATAATACATAAGTATAACTCGATCCCAAATGTGATATACATTAGCGATTTCTGACGTTCTCAGAGAGTAGTCGTAATATTCCGCCAATAAAACAGCTGTGACGTCATTTAAGTCCATCTGCTCATAGAAATATAGACTAGAATATGAGTACAAGGACTAAAATGATGTCACGGCTGTTTTATTGGCGGAAAGTTACAACTACTCACAGAGAACGGCGGAAATCGCTTACTTTGAAATTTAGATGTGGCAGGTAACATTGACATTCGGGATCATGTTTTTCTTATGGAAAGGATATGTTGACATAATTACTTGCATTATTTAAATGATTATGTCCAGTGAGATTTAATTTATGTTCAAATAAAACACTATTATGGATAATAATTACTATTTTTTATAATTGACGCCATAAATAATGTTTTATTTGATTCTGTCCCAATTACTAAATGCCAACCAAAGATATCTCAATTATTGCCTCGAGGACTTGATATCCCATGAGACAACACTAGCAACCAATCAGACGAGAAATCTTCTGTAAAAATTCGGATCTTACCTGGTGAATCAAACTCGGGCATAATTCTCACTCCTCTCATACGACCATAACGTATTATCTCTGCTATATCTTCTAATGTATACACAAACTCGGGATGAAACGCCCCCTGAAAAGATAAAGTTTAACAATTCATCAACAATACGATATCACAATCAATGGAAGTAGATGTTAAGCCCAATACACATTTTGGGCCTAAGAATCAGTTAATTTGTTTGTTTTCATGGGTTATCCTTAAGAAGCAGATCATTCATGATATTTTTTGGGTGTTTTTTTATTTAATTGTCATGAATGTATATATGTATAAATTGATTATGCTGCTGCTGATGTACACTTGTGGAAAACCAAATCCAAAGCATGCCCAAAGCACAATGAGAAGGATTGTTGCAGATCTCTCTCTCTCTGAGAGCTTAACGTCCACTTGACACAACCTAGGTCATTTCGGGACTAACACATGGTTCAATTTTATTTCAATAATTTGCTTGCGCGTAGGGGTCTTTAGCAGTCGGAGGAAACTGGTGGACCTGGAGAAAACCCACAAGGTTGGAGCAAATCAAAGGACAAAATGTCAAGAAACATTTAGCTGGAAAGTCATCTCCAAATTATACTGACATGTTTGGGACTGGAAAAGCTTCATAAATTTTTTAAATAATGCAAGTAATTAGAAATATACACCAGAATATGAGCAGAAGGACTAAAATGACGTCATAGATTGTTTATTGACGGAAAGTTACGACTAGTCACGGAGAACAGAGGAAACTACTATCGTTGAAATTTACCTGTTGGAGGCAATATTGACATTCAGGTTTGTGTTATACTTATGGAAAGGATATGTTGACATAATTACTTGCATTATTTTAAAAAAAGAATTGAAGCTTTTAAGGCAACCTTTAAATTTAATGGTTTGAAATTAAACATTAGATACAGAAACTCCTGCTAAAACATCACAACTACATGATACCTGAGTTGTAGTATATATATGGTGCTACCATACAGAGAGTTAAAAACATATCTAGGGGTGGTTCTGGTAGCCTAAGCAACAAATCTCAGACTGGTTCGTCAGACTGAGCAACAATTTGGGTGGTTTCCAAATGTCCATAGGGAATACCGGTATGAACTATATATCCCGTTTCTCTAATTTTCTTCACGGAAACTGGGTAGTTGATATTTACATATACCAAGTGCTAAAAGGTCAAATTAGTACCATTATATATATAGGACTTTGTCTGTTATGTTGAATAAAGGTCATTACAGTGTTTATCATGTAATATTTTTCACCACAACAATGTTTTATCTTAATAAAGAGCATATTTTTTCATTATAAATCTGAACTTGAGGTCATCTGTCTACAGGTACTAAATCATAGTGAGGTTTGTACAATAGGACTTCACTATAACACTGTAGGAGAGAGCCATGGTGACACCCATCTTATACATTAACACAGAGAGACATGCTATAGAGAGGTTCTTGTGTACTGTTCAGATGACAAAAATTAAACGCGTATTATATATATTCTAAATTTATATGTGTTGAACTGTATTATAATAGTAAGTGTAGGGGGACTGCGCAACATAATTTACACAAACACAAATATACGGACAAGACACAACACGCAGAAATCACATACAAACGAACAATTCAAATTAAGTGAATGGATCCAGGGCTAGGCGTCATTATGTCAGGAGATGATTATAAAACATGACGATGTCACGTGATGATAATGTCATGTGATGATGATAAGATGTCATTATGATGTGTGATGATTATAAGATGCCACTATGTCACGTGATGATGACATGTCTTGAGATGGTGATATGTCATTATGCTGTGTGATGATAACATGTCATGTGATGATTATAAGATGTACATGTATGTCATGTGATGATACGATGTCAGTATGTCATGTGATAATAGCATATTTCGTGCGATGATTATAAGATGTCATAATTTCATGTGGGACAATAACAGGTCACTGGGAAAGTTGTCCAATGGTGATTATTTTTCTGAAAAGTTTAGGAATTGTAAAACTGTGATTTATATGATTGTCTTACCTTTTTACTAAGATCAGGATAAACTTTACTCTGATAAGGAAATGATTGATCGTCAACTATATGCCAGTGGAATACATTCATTTTATTAGCTTCCATACCATCCTGAAAATACAATGATACATTTTATTTCTACATTTAGGCTACCTGGGTAAACCAATCAGATTTTTCATTCTAACGGAATTGATTAATAGCCCCCATGTGAATAATATTTTGTTATTTTGTAAAAATATTTTCTAAACATAGAAACTTAGAAAGAGCAACATTTTTTTTATTTTTTTTTTATGTTTTTTCAAATAGTAGGAAGCAAAATATTAATACAAGTATCCTTTTTTTTTTTTTTTTTTTTTAAATTTTTTCCATTAGTAGTAGGTAAAATATTAATACATGTATCCCGAAGAAATAAAATTAAAATTTGTGGGTACAGTGCTGAAATAACCCAGTAATAAAATGCCTGAACGTTATCAATGTTTCACACCAATCATTTGATTTTTCGTTCTTCCAGACCTTGATAAATATCAAGCTGATTAGAACACAGATCCTATTTTGTTTCATTTTTTGTAGTTCAAAATTTCGTTTTACTTGTCTTTACTACACTAGGATCTGGAAGAGTTGTTATCATTGACGTGTTCTGAATGGTGTGAGGGTTTAGCCAATGGAACGGTCTGTTACAGTGAGCTTGTGGCATGTGGTGCATGGAACTGTGGGTAATCCACTAGAAACATCAATGCTGATTGGTTGATCAAATGTTTGACATCATAGGGTCAAAGTCGCTCGTATGACCTCTGGCAAGACCTATCACTACAACCAGTCAGATCTTCATGTAGTGTAGGCCATCGAAAGTATAAAAAACGAAACTAAATATAGATCTGTATTTTAATCAGATTGGATAAATAACCTCATGTGAACATAAAAACTTTTGAGATAAAGGCTCTTGAGAACAATCAATTTTTTTTTGATTTTGCTTTTAAAATGTTTTTTTCAAAGAATTTCAAAAAGTAGGAAGAAAATTCTAAATACTAGTTTCCCTGAAAAACTAAAATTAAAATTTGTGGATGCTGTGCCAGAATATCCCAGTAACAAACTGGTCAGCCCCCACATCTTCAAGGGTCCCACATGCTAAATGCCTGAACGCTTTTCATTCTGATTCACTGATCCTGTTACCTTCTCTACTACTCTGCATTCAATCTTTATGAATGACTAGGATTATAGTCAATTATAGTAAATTGGGGTTACTATTACTATTACTGAAATGTCAGACATATTTGTGGTATTATCTGACTAACATATTCTACTGGCGCCAAACTACCTTCTTCTTCTGAAGCCATTCCATGAGAGAGAGAGAGAGAGAGAGAGAGACGGAGGTTTAATGTCGACTTGACATTTCGGGACTAACATGTGGTTAAATTTCATTTTAATAATTCGCTTGCACGTAGGGGTCTTCAGCAGTGTGAGGAAACCGGGGGACCTGGAAAAAACCCCACGAGTTTGGACAGGCGACCCTACTCCTTGTCAAGTACAATTGGGGAATAGAAACCACACCAGTTTTATTCAATGACAGATCTTATAATACGGCGTGCACACACTAATCATTTTAGCCATTCAACCTAACCCGGTCTCCCCAAAAGATACTTGCAGAAGGATGAACTGAGATATTGTCAATATGTGGGAAATACATAAAAAATTTTTTTTACAAATGGTTACTCAACTTACAATAATATCAAAAATAATTTCTTTAAATAGAAAATGACGAGAGGTGTCGACTAGAATACCACGATGAGGGAATCTTGGGTAATCACTAATTACTGTCTCTTTTACATATAACTGAAAAATATAGAACATAACATATTTTAACAAAATGTATTTATTTTATCAAACATATTATTGTAACATAATGGAATGATATTTCAATCATATTTGCCAGTGTGGATTTAACTGTGTCCTTTGACCTTATTTTAAGTCTAATTTTGATAAACTTTTTGTTACATGATCAGAACATCATTCCAATTCAGATAAAGCCAAAATAGCTTGCTTAGCAATAAACCTGAGGTAGCCCAAAACTCTGTGTCTCAGTGACATGCACGGACATAGATACCATATGATCATACAGTTGTAATTGACCATTAATTCCATAATTATCTCCCCTTTTTACACTTGATTAGCCTCCATATCAAACAGCTCAATTACCCCTACCTACTTATCTTCATGAATGAACAACAAGAATTCATGAATAATCATAAATCTGTCCTCACACTATCTATGAACATCTACATAAAACCATGATTGTAGTTAGCCAACTGACATTCAGCTGTCTTTATATCTTATCTACAATCATTTCAATTAAGTCTTCTACATGATTCAAACACATATATTTACTAAATTAATGTGGATTTTGCTTCAGTGCTTCAAAACCTTTTCAAAATATTTAAAGCCCATTTCATTTCATTTCCATGGATTTAGATGTACCCTATTATCCATTCTATTCAACAGAAAGGTCACGGGTTCGCACCCGGTGTTGGCCGAGAAAGTTCATCAGGATTTTTCGGCGTGATTGCTCCTTGTCAGTGGTGCAGGACTAGTTGGACGTTAAACCTTATATCATTTCATTTCATTAAACTGAAAAAGTTATATTGGCATGGATTATCCAGCCTTTTAAAATCAAGAATTATGCAATAAATTTACCCTATTATCCAGCCCTTTCCATACAATTTGACTGAATGTTTCTAGACCTCTCAGCAAACCCCATACTTCATTGGCCCAGATTAACACACGATTCTTCTTTACAAATAAATCGTCTGAAATAAAAATAAAAATCAATAATACAATTTTATCTTTTGTCCATTTTAATCCAAAGGATGCGTTTACAATAATTTCACCTCAAGCAAATTACTCATGGAGTCTGGCAGTGTTAGGGTTAGTTTTTGTTAAGGTGGTGGGGTCTTTCAGGACCAGGTCATCAGTACTGCTAAAGACCCCTACGCGCAAGTGAATTATGTAAATAAAATTAAACCATATGTTAGTCCCGAAATGACCTAGTTTGTGTCGAGTGGACGTTAAACCCCCTTTTCCCTCTCTCTCTCTCTCATGTCCAGGATTGTATATGACATACATTGTGTGATAATTTGTACTTGACAAAGTCTGTGACAAGTGCCTTATTTCCAGGCTTCACTGGGTACCCTCCTCGACTATGCTGCATTAACAGATTAGGTAACAAAGTGAGGACCCTGACCACAGTTGACAACTCACTCTCACTCTCTCTCTCTCTGTGTCTGTGTGTTGAAAAACTTAAATTTATGGTAATTTCATTATAGAAATAAAAACCATTCTGGTGTTAGATTATTTCCCAAAGGTTTTAATTTAATTCCTACAATCAAATTACCATACTCAATTACACGAATCTCCATGTTACTGACAACCAGTTTAACGTTCAAACTAGCTTAATCTAAATACAACCTAATGATATTTCTAAGTTTAATTCTACGAGGTGCATGTGTTGGACTGGGAAGGATCAAGGAAATTTCATTACAAGGTAATCTTAGAGCTGAATTTCAAACTCAATTTCATAATTGGATCCTGAGTTATTTTCAACCTAAATTTGTCAAATTATTAGAACAGAACAACCTTTATAACACAATCTGATTGAAACAAAATTTTCTTTTTTAATACTTTTGATGACCTCCATGATGTAACAATTTGAATAGTTTGTGAGAGATATGAGTGAGGAACACAAATCATATTCTTTACTGCTCTATACATGTAGGTGTCTCCCATAACTCTATGTCCCCCTCTCCCCCACAACCTCCTTCCCCCTTCAGTGTATAGCTCAATTGAACAGATCATTTCATTGGATAATCCCAAACATCGCGTCGTTACAATTCTTAGCTAAAAAATATCAAATTTCCAATGGCTTAATCCATGCTAATATGTACTCAGATTGGTTACTTAAAATTAGCAGTGCACCATTAGCATTTTTCGCTAAAATATCAAATTTCTCATGGTTTAATTCATGCGAATATTGGAGTGATTATTAAGCATTTAATTAAGAACACAAAATCCAAATACCAATGCTTGATAATGTCTTGGCTTGGATTCAATAGAATTTAAACAGGCCTATCATTAAATTTTCGTGGATATCAAAATGGCAGCAGGCTTATTGCATAGCAAGCAGCATACTTGTAGAACGATGAAATTTTAATTGCACATATCTTTTTGAATACATTCAAGTTTTGACCTTTTTAACTATGTGTTGTATTTGTATTTAATATATCGATAAAAACAATGAAAGAAAACAGATGAATTATGCCTGAGATAATCAAAATTTGTGCCCGTCATTGTCCCAAAACACGAAGACATCCTATTTGGAAGCCTTAATGGATTCCTTAAACTCTCTAGCTACGCCATTTCCATCCCACTTCATTCCATAAAAAAAAATCTATAAATCAATAAAATGATCAGATTGTTGATGATAATTGTATTTGAAGAGTATGTAGGTAATTAATATATAGAATGTGTATAAATATAATAAATAAATAATTTGTAATGATTGATAAAGTAACCCACATATATTTAAGAGAGAGAGAGAGAGAGAGAGAGATGGGGTTTAACGTCCACTCGACATGAACTAGGTCATTTCGGGACTAACATATGGTTTTAATTTTATTTCAATAATTTGCTTGCGCGTAGGGGTCTTTAGCAGTGGGAGAAAACCGGAGGACCCGGAGAAAACCCCTGAGGTTGGACATATATTTAAGACTCTGAAATGAAGGTCATGGATTTTTGAAAACCTAATATTCCAATATCAGTTAATAGTTTTATATACTTATTAATTTGTAAATTTGTAGATATACATCAATCAATGTTAAACATCATGTCAACATATTGTAATTAATTAGTTGAAATAACGATGTGTCGTCACATGTGTTTAAATTAATCAAATGTCATCGATCAGTGTATACCTGTACTCATCAACATTATTTACTTATACTTTAATATGTTTGTTTTCTTTAAACTGACTTGTTCTCCTCTTAAACCCTCCACTCACTAAGAATCAAGGAATTAAACAGTTGACTTGTCCTCCTCTTGGCCACATCCCCCGCACCCCCCCCCCCCCCATTCCACAAGAATCAAGAAATTAAATGAGTATAAGCCCCTTGAAATTGACTTGTTCTCCTTTTGCAATCCACCATTTTGATCAAACACTTTTTGGCAGACAAACTAATTAGTAGCAGACAAATTTTATGGATTAGTTACTGGATTTATTCTAATGATTTCATCAGATTCATTAAGAAAATGAAACAACAATTAATTGAACAAGTCAAGTTTCAAAGTCTCTGAGCAGCATTTGCATTTCTCGGGGGAAAGAAAATCTAATTTCCACAGCTAAATTATACACAAATTGATTTTTACCATTAAATTTTAAAAAAAATCAAAACATCTAACATAGATAATCCATTTAAAAAATCATTCTTTTGTCACATTTCTGAATACTAGGCCCTATACTTGAGTTGGCCCCAGGCGTCTTCAAACCTCTGTACACTAATAGAAGGATGGGGGGAGGGGATGGTTAACATGTGCACACTTCATCATAAGGTCTGTCATTGAATCAAGTTGCATGGTTTCAATTCCACATTTTTATGTGACAAGGAGAAGGGTTGCCAGTCCAACCTCATGGGTTTTCTCTGGGTCTTCCGGTTTCCTGCCACTGTAAAAGAACCTTACGCGCAAGAGATTGGTTGAAATAAAAATGATAAATAATTTAGTCCCAAAATGACCTAGTTTGTGTCAAGTGGACGTTAAACCCCATTTCTCTCTCTCTGAACACTATCGTAAGTGGTGAATTTTTCAACATCATTATGATAACGAGTTGTATTTAAGTATGAGTTTGTTGTCTGTGGTGCCATCTCCCTGCTCAACCTAATAGAACACTGAGCAAAGGTGAATCTATATATACCAGTACTACAAGTACCTGACCCCCACCCCCTCCTCCCCTTCCGCCTCTCAAATATAGTATATCTATAATTACTAGTACTACCAGTGCATGCCCGCCACCTTCGTCTCTCAAATATAGTGCCCGTCTTCATTAACCCAGTCGGAGCAGAACAGTAGGACGTTAAACCCCATTCCATTTCAAATATAGTGCCAAAAAAAGATGTGTGCCCCATGACAAAAACTAAGTTTAATGCGTAAAGTTGTGCGCTCATTATTGTTATTCTATTCAAGTTTGGATGTCTAAAAAAAAAACCAGCAACAGGTTTGACTGCGTGATGATATTACGTTACATCAAGTTGCATGTACACAGAGAAGTGTTAATGATAATCTTCTAACAAGACACAACGTGTACTACATGTATATTAAATATCCCATTAACACGCTAATTAAAGCCTCTCATCTATTTCTGTATAAAAGAGACTGATTAATATCACACCATCATGATTAAAAGACTTTCTATTTTGAAACGTGTTACAACAACTGAAAATATTCTGGTTTAATGTTATAGTACAGGTACACAGAGTACAATTTAATTGTAAATGTTGAAAGCAAATTTCTGATAGTAAATATACAAGGTATAATAGAATTATATGGTAACCTCAAACTAAATATTTACTCAAGTTATTATTCTTAAGACACAGACACACTCCTGACAAAAAACAGAAACGATGAGATGGAAAGAATAATGACATCATACACAATGGCTGAATAATATATCATGAATATGTAAGATAAGAGGTTAAAGGCACAACATGACATATTCTCATATGCACATTCACTGCTTAAAGATACATTATGTAAGATTTAGATAAAGAGCTGACCATTCTTGCTATAATAGCTCAAAAAATAGATAATGAAAAATAAAAATATTGAAAATTTCATTCAGATTACTTCATTCTGAGCCAAGTTATGACTGTTTGTAGTTTTGACAAGATGTGTGCATTTGTGGTAACGAGTGCACTGGTATATTCAAGACTTGGCCTCTCTTTCCCATTTTTAAATTAAATTTTCAAATGGCGAACAGTTCTAATCTAATTAAAATCTCGAGTATCCTTTGCAATCGAGAGTTGCTTATGGTTTTGTTTTGTTAATAAATGTGTAATTAATAGTTTATATAAGATTTCAGGTTTAATGAAAGACCTGCAATAGGCAGATTTAGCTCTTGTATAATGTATGTTTAAGTAAAAGAAATGGTGCATCGCATTATCGTGTAAATACTGTTGTTATTAGACCAGTCCAACCATACCATAATAAAAGTTATGTACAACAAGAAATTATTCATATATCGTATAAATGCTGTTGTTATTAGGTAATTAGAGTCCAAACATGCCATAATAAAAGTTAAATACAGAGAAAATTAGCCAATACCAAAAGAAATTATTCAGGGATAAATTCAAACTTTCAGTTATGACTATTTACATTGTACGCTGGTTTCTATTGATTTCTGAGTGCCATCTACATTAAAATAGTGCTGGAACTTATATTGTTTGTTATATCTTTAATAACATCCAAGTATAAAAAATCCATTCGTGACGATTCCCTTGTACAAAGTAAACAGAAGTATGATTACTCAAAGATATGTACGATTTAGATAAAGAGCTGGCCGTACTTGCTATAACAGGTTTTTTGGGTTTTTTTTTTTAAACAATATTTTTATTCAGGATATCTGCATGGGATTGGGGAACAGGCTTAGCCTATGTAAAACCCCTCTCCCTGACAGTTCAAAAATAGATAATGTAAAGTGAATACCGGTATATATATTGAAAATTTCATTTAATTACTTTATTCTGAGTAAAGATATTACTAT